ATTTGCACTTACTTAATGTAAAGAGGAACTTTATGACTGAGTGGAGACACCACTGGAGCCAAACAAGCAGAAACTGAATGATCACTTGGTGGTTATCAGCTCTGCCGCCTGTTCCGTAAATACAGGATCTACTATCTATGTCTTTTTTGTGCTACAACAAGCTGAGTAGCTGCCACAAAGACTATTTGGCTTTAAAGTTGAAATATTTACTATAAGCCCCTTTACAAAAAAATGTGCCAACACCTGAATCACATAATTAAGATGTCTTCTACTTTCTCTACACCTGTTAACTTTAGAATGGAAGTTTTCTGAGAGCACTGACTGACTGTAAGTTTTATCAGAATCAGAATCATACTAACTCAAAATCCTCTTTCCCTGGGTTGATCCAAAAACTATGGATTTTGGTACTTCACCTATCATTTACCTGCCTCCATTCTACGACCTCTAAAAGGTAATATGATACATGTTGATAAAACATAATATCAAATGAATTCAAAAGCACTCAAATGAGTTGTGTTATTCTTTTAAATAACTAAGCACACTTTACAGTGCTGTAAAACCAAGGCTGTGAATTAACAGCTTCATCATAATCATATGCTTTAATTCTTTAAACTCTTAACATTTATAATACCAATGCAAATGTTTCAAAATGGATTATTCCTTTCCTTTTTGGAACAGTATAAAACAACTGAATTCATAAGAAGAAAGTTTTTTCCTGTTCTTGTTTGGTTCATTCCCTAACTTCGGCTAAATCCTTTAATTTTTCTTTGCTCTACTGCAGAATGACAAAGTCAGCTGCTAAAAATTTCACACTTCTAACCTCATTCCCACTCACGGCTCTCTGAGTCAGAGGGATAATGCCGAAGAAACATTTAGTAAGTCTCTGTGGGTGCTCTGCAGAGAACCAGGAAATGAAACTGAGTAACTTAACCAACTGGGTTTTCCTTTTAGTCTATCATGATTTACTCAAAGGCAGAAAAATACTTTTTTAGTAAAAGTGAACGGTAACATATCCAATGATAAATTCCTATCATATGGTATAAGGCAGAACTCTACAAGAGAACTTTCTGTGACGAGGGAAATGCTATTCAATAAGGTAGGTATTAGCCTCAAATGTTTGAAATGTGGCCTGTGAGCCGAAGGAACTAAATTTTTATTTAATTTTAATTTTAATTAAGTAGCCACTTGTGGCTAGTGGCCACTGTTTTGAATAGCACAGATATAAGGATATTTTTAAAGCTAACTCTTTTAAGAATTATATGAATTAATTTAGTTATTTAAATTACCCGTTAGCAATAAAGGGGAGTGGGGTGAGTGATGGTGTGGAGAGAAGAATGAAACTTCACATAAGTGAGTATCTTTAGGAAGTAAGAGATGTAGAGAATTTTTCAAATAACTATTAAGTTTTTTGGGCTTTGCATTTATGTTTACTTTTTGTTTGTTTTTTTGCTATAACAGAGATTTTAGTAAGTATATAATAATATTTAGTTCTAAATAGGTCTATTTTATTCATAGTTCTTTTTATTGATTTTATTTTGGCCCTCAATTTGTTTCCTTAGTTCTGTAATTTCTCTTTTCATATTCTGTTGTCTTGTCATTGCACCATTGAACACCTGTGTTGTTGAATTCTTATTTTTGTTAAGTATTATTTCTTTAGCCAAAATGTTCACATGTCATTTTATCCTTTATCCTTAGATTACACTGTCTTTCTGGTGGGGTTTATATCTTTCTTTTATTATTTTTTTTATGTAACATGGTGTAGCTGCCATTTATTTTTCATTTTGTCATGATTAACATGGGCAGCTCTTCCACAGTACCAGTGAATTCCCCTTGATATACTTTTATTAGGTTAGTAAGTAAGAAATCTCCAATTTCCTTAAGTTTGACAGTCAATATCACTGATACTTCTTGTTGTTGTTGTTTAATTGTGTAGGTATATCCTCATTCTTTCAAACACACAACACACATTTTGGCTTGTGACTACCTTTAAAAAAACTTTTAAGAGCAATTTTTGTGAAATCAGGGGTAAGTAAAAAATTCATTTTATTTTCTACTATAAGTTCCATCATGAAACCAATGCAGTGCAGACAGCGTTCAATAGCAGTATTTGGCAAATGAATGCATAGTATGTCAATGGTTTGAGGGGTTCCATTCTGGTGATTTTAATCTTGAAAATGAGCCACACTGGTGAATAATGATGAGCTTAAAGCTGTAGCAGATGCAAGTCCATCTTAATCTATGCGTGAATTTGCATCAAGGTCTGATGTTATCATTCCAATAATATTGAACCATCTGAAACAAATTGGCAAAGAAAAGAAGCTGGATAGATGGGTTCTGCATAAATTTAACAAGCCTCAGAAGAAAAACCATCTGGAAGCTTTTCTTTCTTTGCTGTCTCACCATAAAAGTGAGCCACTTCTACACCGTATTATTACATATGATGAAAAATGGATTCTTGTTGATAATTGCAAGCATTTGGCATGATAGTTGAAAAAAAACGAAATGTCAAAACACAGTCCAAAACAGAATATTCATCAAAAAAAGCTAATAGTATCAGTTTGGTGGTCCAGTGCTCGTATTACCCACTACAGCTTCACAAAACCTGGTCAATCAATTAAAGAGGATGTCTACTGCAACCAAATGGACAACATGATGAGCATGCTTGCAATTAAGCAGCAGAGATTGGTCCACAGAGACAGGCCAATCCTCCCGCAAGGCAATGCTATTGTACAAACAATGCTGCTCAAATCACAGAGCCTGGACTTGGAAACTCTCTATCATCCACCATCTTCACCATTCCTTGCACTAACTACCAGTTCTTCCACTTTTTGTGAGGAAAAATATTCAATTCTCAACATGCTGTAGAAAATGCCTTTTGGGATTTCATCACCACTTGCTGTCTAAGCATCTTTGCTGCTGGTATACACAAGCTGCCATTAAGAGAATAGAAAACTGTGTCGACAGTTTAGGCACATACTTTGATTAACTGTACTGATTCTTATTTGAGATATATAATAAACTAAAATTTTGATTCAAAATCAAGCATTTCATATTTAATGGCTTAATACCTTTTTCCCCCTCTAAACTGAATTTCAAGGCCTAAGTATTAGATCTGGCTTTGAGGGCTGAGGGAGGAAGGACCCTTCCTGGAGCTCTATGTGGTTTTGTTGGGTTATTTGGGTTCCTCTTGCTCCTTTAAGATTTTGTCAAGTGCTCCATACAAGGGCACACTACACTGAGTAATTTAATCCCACGGATCTGTCCCCCCCAAAATAACAAGCCCTAGAAAGTTTTCTTGCTTCTACTAAAATCCTGACATATAATCTGAAAGGTAAGAATAACATAGGATTTTCTTTTCTCAATCTCTTACTTTCTGAAGTTTTCAGTGATTGTGGCTTGTAATTTCTACTTGTTTCATCAAAAAAAGTATTCTGTACCTATAAAGAACTCAAGCAAATCAGCAGAAACAATCAAACAGTCCTATTAAAAAGTGGGCAAAAGATGTGAACAGAAACTTTTCTTTTGGTTATTTTGAAACAGAGTCTCACTTTGTTGCCCTCAATAGAGTGCTGTGGCATTACAGCTCATAGCAACCTCAAACTTTTGGGCTCAAGCAATTCTCTTGCTTTAGCCTCTTGAGTAGCTGGGACTACAGGCGCCTGCCACAATGCCCGGCTATTCTTTAGAGATGAGGTCTTGCTCTGGCTCAGGCTGGTCTCCAACCCGTGAGCTCAGGCAATCCACCCACCTCAGCCTCCCAAGTGCTAGGATCGTAGGTGTGAGAACCTTGCCCAACCTACAGAAACTTTTCAAATGAAGATAAGCTAATGACCAAAAAACTCAAGAAATGTTCAACATCTCCAATCATTAGGGAAATGCAAATCCAAACCACAATGAACTATCACCTAACTCCAATGAGAATGGCTTATATTAAAAAGTCCCAAAACAACACATTGTGGTACGGATGCAGAGAGAAAAGAACTCTTATACATGTTGGGGGGATGGCAAACTAGTACAACCTCTATGGAAACTGCATGGAGATACATAAAAAAGCTTAAAGTAAACTTGCCATTTGGTCCAGCAATCCTATTACTGGGAATATGCCCAAAGGGAAAAAGTCATTTTATAAAAAGGAAACCTGCACTCTAAATGTTTATAGCAGCACAATTCACAGTCACAAAGACATGGAAAAAACCCAAGGGTCCACCAATACATGAATGAATTAATAAAGTTTGGTATATGCACACTCTCCATGGAGTACTACTCAGCCGTATAAAATGATGATCTAGCATTTTCTGTGACAACCTGGATGGAACTGGAAACCATTCTTCTAAGTGAAACAGCACAGGAATGGAGAACAAACACATACTCAACACCAGTTTGGAACTGACCAATCAACACTTAAGTGCATATATGAAAGTAAATCTTCATGGAAATTAAGCTGGGAGGGGACAGGAGGGAGGAAGAAGGATTTGGGTAAATGCACACCCACTGGGTACAGGGTACACTGAGTAGGGGGCAGGACTGTAACCTTGACTCAATTTGTGCAAAAACCAAAGTATATAAACAAAACACATATTCTTTAATGATCTGGGGGAAAAAGACTTAAAAAAGGTAAAACAACAACAAAATAGATTCTGTGATCCAGTTTTACTTCACATCTTTACCTAGAAGTCTCTTTTTAAATAAAAGGAAGGCTATGCTTTTAAATAAAAAGCCTTAAGTGAATATGCACAATAAATACAAAAAGAATTGCTTTGATAGAATTAGAAATCAATAGAGAAAAATGGTCATAATATTAAATACGTAATTATCAAATCAATCTCATAAAATCAGTCAACATTTATAACAAAATGAATAGTTCTTTAGGACTATAATATTTATACAGAAATTTCACATGAAAAGCACCAATTTTTTAACTTGCAGGTAAATTTTCTTTTACTTTTGCTTTAGATCCCCTGTATTCTTGACTGTCATTTAAACTATATTCTTATACTCACAGGCCAAGGCTGTAGGTCATTTAGTCCCTTTTCCAATTTCTCAACATCTGGAAACTTTGTGGCTCCATCAGCATCTGTCATAAGGATCTTTTCTCCTCGAGAACTGAATACACCCTATATTTAAAAAATTCAAGTGAAGGAAAATTGCTTAAAATTAAGTTTAAATTCAATGACATTTCAGTTTGTCATGCTTTACTTTAAATATCAAACAATTAAATAGCTGTGAGATGGCAGGAGGAGGCCAAAGTTCACTTAAATTACCTGTAATCTGATAAGATCCCCCAAATCATATTTATTGCTGATCTTCATTATTTTAAAAACTTTGTGAGGTCATACTAATATCAAATAAATACTAACATAATAAAATAGATTTGGACAAATTAAAGATATTCTACATTATTAAGAAAAGCAGCTCTCTCTTCTCCTCCGCTCTCTCTCCTCCTCACTCTCCTCCTTGGTGCTGCTCTGTAGCCTCCCTCTCCCACCAATAAAGACCTTTCCTACAAGCAAAAAAAAAAAAAAGAAAAAAGAAAAGCAAAATACTTCACATGAAATATGCCTGAAAGGGATCCAGGGCTGCTTAGAACCACACATAGAGATGATCAGTGTTTATGAACACACTCAGCAATCTAACATATAGATTTGCTGCAAAATGCATGATAAAACCACAGATCTTTAGTATTTTTTTTTTTTTTGCAGTTTTTGGCCGGGGCTGAGTTTGAACCCGCCACCTCTGGCATATGAGGCTGGCGCCCTTTTGAGTCACAGGCACCGCCCAGATCTTTAGTATTCTTTATTAAAGATCTAAAGTTTATAAAATTGTTGAATAATATAGAATATCACTAAAATTCAGAAATTATAGATATATCCAAGCACTATTTATATCATTTAAGGCATGTGACCCTTAGCAAAATTAAGCCAACTAATTTTGAGCTGATTGGTCTTTGTGCACATTTTGGCTCTAGATGAGTACCTATTTCACATAGAAATAAACAGCACATCAACTTTAGATTTCTATGGTACAGCTGAGTAAATTCTTTATATCTTAAGTGCTACTATATTTATGGGTTGATATAGTAAAATTAATACTTAACACAGTTTGAAGACAGACGAGATATATACAAGTATAGGAAGTGATGAGATCACTTATTCTATGGTATAAATAAGCCTAATTAGTATCTGTGATGTCTTTTTATCACATCATTAGCATATGTGTAAAAAAGCAGAAATAAAAATGTTATGTTTAACATCTGAATGATACACATAAAGTTTTAGAAAACAGAAAACATTACAAGGTATTAAAACTGGAGTTACTAGTTTGAAATGAAACAAACAAAAAAACAACAGTAAGTGACTAATTATTTCCATGATACATGATAAGGGTGACCTGGAAGTTATTATTTAGTATTAATGGAAGACTGTGTATGGTCCTCACCCATCCTGAAGCCTACTCTTCCATTTTACCATCTTCCTTCTTGATTTGGTTGGGAATACAAATGTTAAAAACAAACAAACAAACAAACAAAAACACTTGCTTCTCTTGGAAGCTGGGTTGCCCTGTGACACTGTTCTGGCCTATGAGATGTAAGTAAAATTTATCAAGTAGAGCTTCTAGGAAAGCTCCTTAAAATGGTTCAGCAGGTATTCATCTGTCGTATCCTGCCCTTCTCCTTCCTGTCTGGAATGTGGATGTAATGACTAATGCTCTAGGAGTCACCTTGTGTACATGAGGGAGAGGGAGTGAAAAGATAGGAGCCCAGGTTTTTGGTGAGTGTGGAGTTCCTGAACAAAGCCTGGATGGCCTATTCTTATACTTTTCATGGGGATAAGATAAATAAATAAACATCTCAGTAATTTAAGGTAGCATTATATGGGTTTTCTTTCACATTATCTTGCTTTTTGAACTTTCTTTTGGTGTGTCCTGATTCCTACCTGATACACCTCAGCTGAAAGTCACCTCTTCTTTCGTAGCCCTCCACCTGCATGTCTCTGATGAGTAAAGTCACCTTCTTTTTTACTTATGCAAATGCTTAGACCAGGGGTCCTCAAACTTTTTAAACAGGGGGCCAATTCACTGTCCCTCAGACCTTTGGAGGGCTGGACTGCGGGCCCTGGGATGAGTCGGCTGCTAAGCAGGACAGGCAGCAGCAGCAAAAACACCTGGCAGGCCAGATAAATGTCCTAGGCCAGCTGCATGTGGCCTGCGGGCCGTAGTTTGAGGATACCTGGTACACATTTCCTCAGGGTAGACCCAAGTCAGATTCATCTGAGTTCACACTAGCATGCATAACACAGTGCCTTCATGTAGGTGAAACACAAAAGCATTTTGTAAATTGCAAAAAAAGAAAAAAAAATCACACTATCTTATAATTTGGTGATTATATTAAAGATACACAGAAGTAGATAACATTTTCAACTTTGAGAAATGTATTTTTCTTAATCGCCTAGTATGTTACAGATATGACATTTTTAGATTTGATTAAAAATGTATGAAGTTATTAAGAATACACTGTCACTCACTTGAAATGCTAGTATTCAAATAGTAGAACATACATGTATAAGTCTGTAAAAGAGGTTATTCAAAATACTTTAATATTTTACATAAAAGTGTTGAATATAAGCATTACCATCCTAACAGCTCCGCCTTTTCCACGATTCTTCACCAATGTTATCACTCGTATTTTGTCACTTCCGTACTTCTGGCAATATTTAAAAGCTACCTGTCAAATTATATGAAAGTCAGAACAAGATTAACCTGGAATCCAAGAGATTTATAAACTCAAGTTTCTCATTTGGGCTCAAACACTTTTATTGTAGTTCACCTCTTCTTGTGACAAGATTACCTACCTATTGGTAGCCCACAGGAATTATAGAATTCCTGGTGCTAGGATCAACATTAACCCAACAGGTTGAAGTCACAATTTGATTTCCTGTAGGGCAATCACAAAAATAGGCAGCAATCTTTTCTTCTCTTGATTCCTCTACCTAAACCACTGTGCTGCTGGAAAATACAAAAGCCATGTACACACTTGTGATGGGACCTTCAATACTACTGAGTGGCATGTTCATTTGCTCAGATCAGCAATTTTTCCCCAGAGAGGTTGTTTGTATCCTGGACCATTTCTTCCCATTTTTTTCACTCAAGTTTCTTTCTCTGAGCAGATATTCATACTGCAACTTGTCCTTCTCTTCTTAATCTTTAATTTCTTCCTTTCCGCTGGGTTCATAGCCTCAAACTTGCTCAAGCCTAAAATCTAAAATCCAAAAATCTTCCCTTTGACTTCTTAATTATCTTAAGTGACTGCTATTACTCTCTGATGTATATCAGTCATGAAACAGTGATATGCATTTGCCATCTACCTTTCCCTATCACCTATTTATTTTTTTTTCTTAACATTTAAAATTTTAAATATTTTTAGGTCTTTTTTTCTTTAGTTTCAAAATATTAAGAGGGTGTGTTTGTTACATTGATAAATCCACAGCAGCATGACTCATGCCTTTTGCTTTTTTCCCACATCCCCTTCCTACTTCACTCCATCAAAGGCACCCTCCCTTTGACAGTCATTTCTGTTCAGCTGTGAAGTCATTCTTATCTGGTGTTTGCCCACCTCCTCCAACTGCTCCTCTTCAGTTTTCACCACAAACTCCTTTTGTTGTTCTGCTTGCTCCTTAAATGCTGATAATCCTCACAAGGACCAACCCTACCCTGCATAACCAGACAGTTTACGGGCAACCCTTAGCCATCTTCTCTTCTCAGTACATAAGCTCAGTGCAAGCCACTGCATGGGTTTAATTACCACTTACATTGTGAATCTCAAATGTCTGTCTATCACCCAGGCTTCTCTCCTGTGTCATCTAATCTTATATCAGATACAAAAACTCCAGAAATTCATTCATCTTCTCCTCCCACTCCTGCTCAGTCCATATTCCTCACTGCAGCAAATGGCATCACGGCCTCTCAAGCTACACAAGCTAAAAGCCTGAGAGTCCCTTTCCATTTCTATCACCTGTCACAATTCCCTGGCTACTACAACTCACTATTAGCACTTCTCAAATGCCCCTCAGCTCCATCCTGCCTGCTTATCTTTCTGACCTTATTCAGGGCCTATGCCCTGCAGTCTCCACCTCTCTAGCCTGAGTCCTCAGTTCACTCCCCAAGGTTCTACAACTAACCTTTCTCATACAGAAATTGTTTCATGTTTGCCCTGTACCAACATCCTCAATGATGCCCTATTGCTTAGTATGAGTTTCTTATCACATATAGGAGCCCCTTTGTGATTTCGCCCTCACCCAACCTTTTTAGCCAGTTTCTGAGGCTGCCTTGTACATCAACAGTGTTTAGGATTTCCAGAACATACCATGTTCTCACATTTCTATGCCTTTTCTCAAAACACTGTCTTCTAGCTTCTTCACCTATCAGACTGACTTAAAATTCAGCTCAAACACCATTTCTTTTTCCTAGTTTTCATGCCCATCATCATCTTCCCCCAGGAAAAAAGAAAATATAAATTTAATAATACATACTCCTAAAACATTTTCTCATTCAACTCTTACTTTACTCAACATACAATGCAACTATAGAATTTCCCAGCTAGGATTTTAGCTACTTAAAGGCAAAGATTAATATTCCTAGTGCCTGACACATAGTCTGCAACTGACCAATCTCAATGAACTAGTGGAACCATTTGTATACACTCCTGTTTAGCACTATGGCAGGTGCAATTAGCCAGCTGCCTATCCAACAAATAATGCCTCTTTCTTCCTTGCTGTCGTGGACCTAATCTTGTATAGTGACAACTGTGCAGCCTTTGGGGATGAACAATAATTAGTTTAAGTCCTCTTCACCAAGTATTTTTCCAGCCTCCCTCATACGCCAGGGTGGCCGTGTCACCAAATTCTGGCTTGTGAACTCTGGGCATAGCAGTGAGGCTTGGCTGTTTCTTACTGCTTCAGGACATGTAATATTCAGAGCTGTGGACATTTTGTGATGAAAGAATGTGTGAAAACCAAGAAGATATGGATCCAGCTACTCCTCAGTTTATTTATTTATTTATTTTTGAGACAGAATCTCACTCTGTCACCCTGAATAGAGTGCCGCAGTGTCATCACAGCTCATAGCAACTTTAAGTTCTCGAGTTTGAGAATTCCCCTCGCCTTAGCCTCCTGAGCAGCTAGGACTACAGGTACCCGCCACCATAACTGGCTAGTTTTTTCTATTTTTAGTAGGGATGGGGTCTCACTCTTGCTCAGGCTAGTCTCAAACCCCTGAGTTCAAGCAATCTACCCACCTTGGCCTCCCAGAGTGCTGGGATTACAGGCGTGAATTACCATGCCCAGCCTACTTCACAGATTAAATGCCGAGCCAATTCTACAGTCAAGTATGTCCACATTTCCTGCTACATGACATAATTAAATTTGTTTATTATCTAAGCTACACTTCCAACTGATAAAAACACCTAACACATTGTGCTCTAATTATCTGGTGCAGCTCTGGCCATTTCCACATCTTACTGATGCAGAGTGGTCTTGCACCTTTGTATTCCAGTACCAGTCAAAGCCCTTGTCTCCTACTCAACAGCTCAAGAAATATCTATTCAGAGAACAATTTATTCTGTCCTGTAAATGTTTGCCTGGAAATCACAAAGGTATTCATCCCAAGACTCAACCAGGAAAACGAAGTCATTGTGCAAGCTGAATGAACCCAAAAGAACTCCACTAGGTTAGGATGAAAGGCTCACTCTAAAGAGCATAGCATCCTGGGAGGCCAAGGCAGAACTGTTGGAGCACAGGAGTTAGTTCAAGGCTTCAGTGACTATGATGGTACCAATGTACCCCAACCAGGGCAACAAAGCAAGTCCCTGTCTTGAAATAAAAAAAAAAAAAAAAAAATTATGGTATCTAGCTTTGAGCAAAGCAAACACTGGTGATGCCACACCTGTGTGCAGCAGGTGCATGCTAAAGCTTCATAGTGTGCTCTGCATCATTGCAGCAGCTGTCACCTGCCTATCATCTGCAAGGTGAGTTCACATTGGGTGCTTATTCACCTGTTATATTCTTAAGGGAGTAATAACAGTCATGCTACAACTGCAATATCTCTTGTACTGACATGTATACTCCTTGGTACAAAACCCCTCAAGAACAAGAAGTACATCTAAAATTTGCCTAATACCACTCACACTACATGATATTAACAGGCAATCAATAAAAAAGTCAACTTAGGGAAATGGTTTCTTCTTTTTTTGTTTTAATAAAAACTTCTGCTAAATACAACTTCAAACTTCCACTTTCTTCCAACCTCGGGAGCAACAAGGCCAAGTGCTAACCTTTTCCTCACCTGCCTTGCTAAGAAGAGGGTATGTTCTTTCCAGGAGTGCAGCCTGCCACTCAAAAGGCCACTACTGCCATGGAAGTACTTCTTCAAAGAGGCTGCTTTTCCTCAGCTGAGGTGAGGCTGCTTCTGTAACCTCAGCAGCAAGCATCTAGTCTTTGCTTTCTAAGTCATTCTCTTTAAGGATGAACTGGCTGCTGAGACAGTCTGTGCTCATGCTTTTACATCACACTCACTATTCAAAATGCAGCACTTACTCTTCCTAAACCAGATCCCGCCAATGCTTTCTGGCCCTACACCTTTGTTTTCATAATTTTTCAATCTGAATATACCATCCTCTATGCTCCTAGTCATAACCAACTTTGAAGGTTTAATTCAAAGGTCTCTTCCATTCTCTCAAATTCTTTATAGCATTCTATCTTTGGCCCCACTTTTTACCTGCACTATATAATTTGGGACCCTGTCACAGAACTGCCCTGAAGACTCCTTCCACAAAGGGCTCTGTGTGTGTATGGCCCATCCAGTGCCTGGCATTTCATGCACAGATAGTATTTAACAAAAATCATTAAGTGATGAATAATCAAGTAAACGGATTTTTTTTATTTTGAGACAGAGTCTCACTATGTTGCCCTCGGTAGGTTGAGTGCCGTGACGTCACAGTTCACAGTAACCTCAAACTCTCGAGCTTAAGTGATTCTGTTGCCTCAGCCTCCCAAGTAGCTGAGACTACAGGCACCTGTCACAATGCCTATTTTGCTGTTGCTGCTGTTGTCATTGCTGCTTAGCAGGCCCTGGCCACATTCAAATCCACCAGCACCAGTGCATGTGGGCAGTGCCCTAATCACTGAGCTATAGGCACTAGGCCCAAGTGAACGGATTGTTTGTACTTTTACTTTAAGGTTCATTACAGTGCTATTTAACAAGACTATTAAGAGTCTCATAAATAAATCTTTTATTCTAGAAACATGAACGTCAAAAAAGAAAATGTGGGGCACGCTTAATAATAAAAACATTTAGATGTTTGGAGAGTAACTTATCAGGGACCCTGGTGAGATTTAATAAATGTACTATGACAAAGATGTGTGCAGGTGGGCCAAGCAGCAACAGGTGTAGGAATGACAAGGGATAATGCCTTGAGACACTGGCACCTCTCAGGGCTAAGCCTAGACAGGGAATGCCAAAGGACACACTTGATTCCCAGTGGCAGATATGAACGCAGCTTCTGATTTGTATGACTGCTTTAGAAATTATAAGGCAAGGTGGTACATAAGGAAAGGAACTACGCTTAGGAAAAAAGGAAGCGAAAATTGCTAGGCAAAAAGGATTTCCTAGAAGCCAAGGTGAAATGTTGGTTATGTTCCCTCCCTATCTGGTGATTTTCAAAGTCTCCCTGATCTTATGGAGCAGAGGAATTCTCCATCTTTCCATAAATTAAACCTGTTTTTTTCTACTGCCCACACTATAATGGAGACTATCAGACAGTTTTAGGCCCCTCTGATAAAGGGAAATGAGATTTCATGTGTGCTAAATTATTCTATATTTTCTACCTACTGGCAATTCTGAAAGTAAGCATAGACCAGGTGCAGTGGCTCATGTCTACAGTCTTAGCACTGTGGGAGACCAAGGCAGGTAGATTGCTTGAGCTCTAGAGTCTGAGACCAGCCTGAGCAAGAATGAGACCCCATTTCTATTAAAAATAGAAAAAGTAGCTAAGCATGGTGGTGTAACCCCCTTAGCCTCAGCTACTTGGGAGGCTGACGCAGAGGACCACTTGAGCCCAGGAGTTTGAGGTTACTGTGAGCTAGGCTGAGGCCACGGTATTCTAATCTGGGCAACAGAGCAAGACTTTGTCTCAGAACAGCACATAAATCAATAAAAGCAAGTGTATATTTACCTTTGAAGTCTGGTCTGTACTGCCATCATCAACTACTATCACCTCATAAGTGAATGCAGGATCTTGTTTCTGCAAGAAGCAAAAATAACATAATGACACAATTTGGCATAACTGCCATCAAGAATTCTAATTAAATTATAAGTAACTTAAAAAACTTAGTGTCGATATGTATAAATTTGAACATATATATCACTGTACAAACCACATAAAATAAAAAGGCTAAGAACGAAAAAAAGGACAGACTCTGAAGGAGCAAGCGTGAATCCTGACTTTACCCCTGCACACCCTGCTGCTTTTTCCCCAGCTGCCCTGTACCATGTCAGTGGGAGACACTGGCTCTTGTGGTGCCACTGCACATCTGTGAAGAGCTACAAGTGTATGAGGTAAAAGCTTATGAGGTTCAAAGTCAGACTTCCAACTCAGCTGTAGGACTTCTTAGCCCAATGACCTTGGGAACCTTAACTTTTGCCCTGTTTTCTCACTTAACAACAACAACAACAACAACAACAACAACAACAACAAGGACAGTCCATGTTTCTGGTGTGAAGATTACTTGTAATTGAAGAATTAAAAGTCTCATACATAATAAAAGCTTAATTTCCTTCTTTTATTTAAATTTAATTTTTGGAGCATATGAATTGTCTATCTTTCCTTTATACGAAAAACTTAAAAGCAAAGTACATTAATATGAAAATAATTTTTTTTTTAAAGAACCAGCTGTAAAAACTCTATTTTTAGCCTCTCTAAGGGGATTCCAATGGCAGCTGGCATTACAAAACGGGGTTGTATATTACTTCTCATTACACATGGAAAAGGAGAAAATGTGTGGGTGGAGGAATCTTGAGAGAAATAAATATAAAATAATTTTAAATTAAAGATAAGTCTTTTAAAAATATAGCTCTTAAGTAGGGCTGGGCGCAGTGGTTCACTCCTGTAATCCTAGCACCCTCAAAGGCCAAGGTGGACGGATCACTTGGGCTTATGACCTCAAGACCAGGCTGAGCAAGGGCAAGAGCAAGACCCTGCCTCTACTAAAAATTAAAAACAAAAACAGCCAGTGTTGTGGCGGGTACCTGTAGTCCAAGCTACTCAGGAGGCTGAGGCAAGAGGCTTGCTCAAACCCAGGAATCTGAGGTGGCTGTGAGTTATGGTGATACCACAGCATTATACCAAGGGTGACAGAATAAGACCCTGTCTTGAGAGAAGAAAAAAAAAAAGAAAAAAAAATATATATACACACACACACATACCACTCTTGTTTAAAAGTCACAAAAGTAAAAACAGCATTATGCCATCATACAAAGTTGGCAGATAGGCGCTGTCATTCAATATTAAATCTATTATCGGCTCGGCGCCTGTGGCTCAAGCGGCTAAGGCGCCAGCCACGTACACCTAAGGTGGCAGGTTCGAATCCCCAGCCCGGACCCGCCAAACAACAATGATGGCTACAACCAAAAAATGGCCAGGTGTTGTGGCGGGTGCTTGTAGTCCCAGCTACTTGAGAGGCTGAGGCAGGAGACTCGCTTGAGCCCAGGAGTTGGAGGTTGCTGTGAGCGTGATGCCATGGCACGCTACCTAGGGTGACAGCTAGAGGCTCCGTCTCAAAAAAAAATTAAAAAAAAAAAAAATCTATTATCAGGAAAGAGAGGATAAAAAGTAGGTAGGAGGGTAAAGAAAAAGAAATTTCAACCCTCTGGTGTGTCCTGGGGATCTCTACCTGCCTGCAGAGTGGGGTGCTGCATGTAGCAGGTGGTCCCAACCTCAGGGCAGTGCCAGCACTGCTTCCCATAGTACATCTAGCTTAGGGTCCACAAGCTGCTGACTTGGCCTAATTGTCACTGAAGACACCATTTTAAAAGAAAAAACATGATACCTGTCTCTTCTCTAGATAGCTCAGAGCTTCGTCCATCATCACAGGCACTTAAAGAAAAAGAATACATTGATAATTGCTTTTGAAAATTATTTTCCAAGTCCCAGCACACTCAGTTTATACCTGGAATCCCAATAATCTAACAAGCCCCTCTGGGACTTTTTCCCATGGCCACTCCCTATGTGGAATGTCATCTGCTATTCAAGTTTGGTTCATTACTTCAGTCAGGCCTACTGCCCCATAACACTGTCCTGTACATTGCAGCAAATATTTACTTTTTCTTTTCTGAATTACAATTACCAACTATCTACTCACCACAGCCTACATCTATTAATGTTCTAAGACAGTGAAGTCAAATTTATTTTTCTTCTCAGATTATCCCTTACCAAAAAAATTAAATAGGGCTTACACCGTTTTTCTTCATTGTATGAAGGCACAACAACAGAAAGTTGTTTGGTAGGTGAGTCCCATATGCTGGGTAAAGTTTCCTTCTGGCCTTTGGCATTTAAGAAGAACTTCTCTTCTTCATGTAGATGAAGTGATGGCATTTTTGTAGCAGTGATAAATGCAACAATAGAAATCTAAAAGTAGATGTATAAAAAAGAAATTATGCTAGCTTTTTAAATATTTGTTAGAATATATTGCCTACGTGACCTTTTTCAGTGGAATATTCACTCTCAGTTTTTAGTTCATTTAGTTCAGGTAACTCCAAAATTAGACAGTCCCCCAATTATTCCCCTACTAATGATCTGACAGCTGTCCTTTTTTCCGTTTGTAAGGAGCTAATGCCTTAAGAGGCTCTTAATTTCTTCCTGTCTGTCATTCCCTAGGCCTCATCCAGATGTAACAGGGAACAATCACTACAGAAGAACCATCTACTCTTAGAACCTCTGAAGCTCCAATTCCTAGCACACATGCACTCAGGCACACTCACTGTAGGGCGCTATCTCTACTTGGAGGATTCATGCGACAGGGGACAAGTCTATATTGCAGTTGGAAAGGTCCCCCTGACCTCCACAGTAGGAACCAGTAATGTTTAATATGTTTTTGATACTTACTCCAAATCTGAATTCAGAAAATAGCACTTTCTGAACTACCAAACCTACAGGCTCCCTTCCACACCCACTTGGGAGGTAGCTCTGGAAATAACTATTCTTCCTAAGTGACATTGTTTCTGTTGGTACATTTTCTGCTTTCCAAACAATCTACATATTTTTGGAATGCTACTTATTTGTAATTTGATGACCATTTATAATATCCTATTGGGTACAAACTGAAATTGAATATGCTTCTGATCGGTATGAACACAGAGGCAGTCAGTACCCGGAACAGTAGTTAAGAGTTCATGCTCTGTGCCCTGGTGTTCAGACTATGATTTTTCTTTTTTTTTGTTTTTTGAAGCTGAGTTTCACTTTGTTGCCCTTGGTTGAGTGCAGTGGCGTCACACAGCTCACAGCAACCTCCAACTCCTGAGCTTAAGCGATTCTCTTGCCTCAGCCTCCCGAGTAGCTAGGACTGCAGGTGCCCACCACAACGCCTGGCTAATTTTTTGGTTGCAGTTCAGAGGGGGCCGGGTTTGAACCCGCCACGCTGGATATATGGGGCCAGCACCCTACTCACTGAGCCACAGGCGCTGCCTCCGACTATGATTTTTCTTTCCCCCCCAGACAATCTTACTTTTTCAACCCGGCTAGTGTACAGTGGTGTCATCATAATCCATAGAAACGTTAAAACTTCTGGGTTCAGGTGATCCTCCTGCCTTAGCCTCTTCAGTTACTGCAACTTTTGGTGCTTGCCACAAAGGGTGGCTAATTTTTCTATTTTTAGTAGAAACTGGGTCTTGTTCTTGCTAAGCCTGTCTTCAACCTTCTGAGCTCAAGCAATCCTTCCACTGCCACCTCCCAGAGTGCTAGGATTACATGTGTGAGTCACCACACCAGGCCCCAGACTGATTTCCAAATTCAATTTTCTGCTAAAAGCAACTAGTGCTCCCAAGAGGGTAAAAACACTAGAATAGTATGTCATACCAGAGGGTAAAAACACTACTAATGATTATAAGGGCTGCATCAAAAGACAAAGTAGTCAACCTGAAGGAACGCCCACTGGTCTGTAATAGGAGGATACGAGCAGCAAAAAGAATGTTGCAATAGATCAAAACACATGGAAAATATTTATTTACTTTTGAGTGAGAGTCTCACTCTGTTGCCCAGGCTAAAGTGCTATGGCATCTTAACTCACAACAACCTCAAACTCTTCAGCTCAAGCAACCTCTTGCTCAGCTTCCCAAGTAGCTGGGACTATAGGCACCTGCCACAATGCCCAGCTAGTTTTAGTAGAGATAGAGTCTCATTCTTGCTGAGGCTGGTCTTGAACTCTTGAACTCAAGCAATCCACCACCTCAACTTCCCAAATGAAAAATATTTTAAATCATGAATTCATAATGATATGGAAAATAAAATGGGGCACCTTTGCAAGATGCTACAGAACCATCTCATTATTTTAAAAACTTGGCTTTTTGGCTCAGTGTCCCTAGCACAGTAGTTACGGTATTGGCCACATTCACTTAGGCTGGCGGGTTAGAACCCAGCCTGGGCCAACTAAACAACAATGACAACAAAAAAATAGCTGGGTGTTGTGGTGAGCACCTGTAGTCCCAGCTCTTTGGAAGGCTGAAGCAAGAGGATCGCTTAAGCCCAAGAGTTTGAGGTTGCTATGAGCTGTGACGCCACGACTCTCTACCGAGGGTGGCATAATGAGATTGTATCTCCAAAAAAAAAAAACAAACAAAAAACAAACAAAAAAAACCTTGGCTTTTTATGTTGTATGTTATATGTGAGTATTAGTTCAGGGTAACTGAATAGCTGAGGTTAAGATTCTTTCCATTATAAAATTCTAGGTAATAATGAAGAAATGATACAATTAGAATATTCTACTTTGCAATCACAGTGAAATAGAGCATTTTGATAATGATCCTTAAAGACTGGGTATTATAAAACCATTAGGTTGATATAACTGGTAGTTCTGGATAATACCTGAACCCACCGATCCATCTGAACATCAGAAATAACCAGCCATTACAGCTCCTGATGTGATACTTGAGCAAGCAGTAAGCACCACTCACATGTTTTCCTTGATTAAAAAACTCAAACGTGCATTTGATCAAGTCTCTAGATCAGTGGTTCTCAACCTTCCTAATTCCACGACCCTTTAATACAGTTCCTCATGTTGTGGTGACCCCCAACCATAAAATTATTTTCGTTGCTACTTCATAACTGTAATTTTGCTACTGTTAAGAATCAGAATGTAAATATCTGATATGCAGGAGATCCTAAAGGGGTCGTGACCCACAGATTGAGAACTGCTGCTCTAGATCCTAACTGCTAGTTTACCGGGAATTCAAGAGACACAGGAAGATGCTAAAAGGCATCAAGGGAGCCAGGCATGGTGTACTAGTACTCTGGGAGGTTGAGACAGGTGGAGAGCCTGAGCTCAGGAATTCAAGACTAGCCTGAGCAAAAGAAGACCTTGTCTCTCCAAAAAATTAGAAAAAACTAGCTGAGCATGGTGGTGCATGCCTGTAGTCCTAGCTACTTGGAAGGCTGAAGCAAGAGGATTGCTCAAGTGCAAGAGTTTGAGGTTGCTGTGAGCCATGACACAATGGTACTCTACCCAGGGCACAGAGTGAGATTTTGTCTCCAAGGGGGAAAAAAAAATAGGGATCAAGGAGATGCAATCAGTGAAATCCAGATTTGAGAAATTCTACAGGACAAATGCCCACATTTATTAAAAACGAGGAAAAACCATTAGTAGATTAAGAGACTTGAAACATAAATTAAGTGCAATGTGTGGCCCTTGTTGGATTCTGACTAGAACTGAGACCTTTTACTAAGAAATGGGCTAGGCCCAGAGGCTCATGCCTGTAATCCCAGCACTTTGGTAAGATGAGGAGGGATCACTGCTTGAGGCCAGGAGCTTGAGACCAGCCTGGGGAACACAGACAGACCCCGTCTCTACAAAAATTAAAAAAATTAGCTAGGCATAGTGGTCTTAAATACTTGCGGGGGAGGGGGGTGGCTGAGACAGGAGGCACTTGAGACAGGAGAACTGCTTGGGCCCAGGAGTTCAAGGATGCAGTGACCTATAATCTCAACACTGCAATCCAACCTGGGCAACAGAGTGAGACCCTATCTCTCTCTCTCTTTTTTTAAATTAAATTATAGCTGTGTACATTAATGCAATCATGGGGTACAATGTGCTAGTTTTACACACAATCTGAAATGCTTTCATCAAACTGGTCAACACAACCTTCACTGCTTTTTCTTAGTTATTGTGTTAAGATATTTATATTCTACACCTAGTAAATTTCACATGTACCCTTGTAAGATGCACTGTAGGTGTGGTCCCACCAACTACTCTCCCTCTCCCCATCCTCCTTCCTCCCCTCCCCTTCCTCTCCCCTTCTTCCTGGGCTGAGACCCTATCTCTTAAAAATAATAAAAAATAAAATGTGAAAAGACTGTATGAGATAATGAGAGCATGTGAGCTGAGGAGGCATATAAAATCACAGAACAGTTAAACTTTTAAAAACATATGTGATCACCTTACTGTGGTATTTTTAAAGACGGTTCTTCTCTGTTAGAAACAAATGCTGAGAATTTACAGATAAAATCTTGTGTCCTGGATTTATTTTAAAATAATTCAGAAAGGAGGTGAGGTGGAAAGAAAGTATGAATGGAGAGTAAATACACAGAGAAAAAATGACCTTTTTTTTTTTTGGTTTCCTTGAATGATTTCTTGCTTTGTCGTTAAGAAAAAAAACAAAAACCAAGTTCCATGAACTGTGTGACATTTCAGTACAGAAACTCTTTTCTCCAACCTATTTCCTCACCAGTAAAATGAAGCTAAGAACATTTGTGTCACAGTGCTGTGCTAAAGAGCAAATGAGAAAATCCTTACTAAACGGAGTACAACACTCAACATGAACAGTTAAGTACTGAATAAATGATTATTTTTATTATCACTTCAACTTGGTAGGATTACATACTGTACTAATGGTATGTTAGTACTCATATTATACACACTTAAATTTGAACAACAAATGAAACATGGGGCAGCTTCAATCTAGGATTGTGTCAAACTCTGCCCCACTGAAAACCTGGTTTGCTCAAAACCCTGAAATCTCCATGTACTATTAAGTGACAGAGAGGACTCCTTTATCCAGACACAGATCAACAAAGAAGTCAGGATGCACTGCATTTTCTCTATCTAAACGGTTCCTAAATTTAAACAACCTCTCAGAAGATGGCATAGTGGCCTTCTGGTACTGCTTTGCAGTACTCCTTCTTGGTTCTGAATGCCAAGGAAGCTGAAATCCCTCCACTTACTAACTAGCTGGCAGGATCATTCCAAATTATATCGGAGAGAGTTCACTTGACATCAGCAAGTGTTCATTAATGTGTTTTCTTTTTTCCCCCAGAGCAAAGGCAAAGAAAAAACTGAGTTTGAATCATCTGCCCTGCCTCATTTAGAGGTAGTCTATTTAGGGTGCTTAATTGCAGAAACACAATAACCCCCAGATGTATAACCTGCCGAGGTCTTGGTCTTGACCGTCTTGCTCACTGATTTATTCCAATCTGTAACAGATGGCTGCTGTCCGTGCTCCATCACCACCTTCTATTTACTTAACCACACCAGGATAAGAGAGAGGGGGCATATCTCGCCTAGGGGCTCAAACCCTCCGTGATGGGGCCAGAACTATAGGGGATGCAGGCCCAGGGAGAAGTCTGGGAGAGGTGGAGGCTGACATGGCGGGTGGGCAGGGCGTCCAGGCACTCAAGGCGAGCGAAGCGGGGTTGGAAGGCAGGGAAAGCGCGTCCTGATGATGAAAAACCCACAAGACTCCACGCACAGAGGGAGGTAAGGTTCTAACGTAAAAATAAAGAACCGGAAAAAAAGGGAATGAAAATCTAGGAGAGGAAATTCTGGGGACGAGAAACAGGGCGACGCTGGGTGAAAAGGGACATAGCTAAGACCGGGCAGCGCGGAAGGGATGCCTGGGGAGCGCATTCTCCAGGACAGCTGCGAGCCTGGCCCGCACAGGACCCCAACTTCTGTTCTCACCAGTATGAGGGCTGCGGCCGCCAGCGCCGCGCCAAGCACCGTCAGCTGCAGCAGGAGCTGGGCCATCCTCCATGCCGGGACCGCCACCGCCGACAGCCCTATCCCGCGCCTACACACACGCGGAAGCGCGCCCGTCCAGCCACGCCCCCTGCCTCCAGAGAGGTCGCGCCCGCCTGGAACGCACCGCCCACAGCGTCCCCGCTTGGCGTGGCGGAGAACACGCAGTCTTGTGTGCTAAGCGCCCACAGAGAAGCAGGCGCTAGGTTTCTTCTCTGGCAGGGTTGCCCCAGTTAGCAAGTAACAAGGCGTCCTTTTACTTTGAATTTCAGATAAACGACAAATAATGTTAATAACCTTATTGAGCTATTCACAAACTATAGAATTCATCCATTTACAGGTTTCTGGTTCACATTAATTTTTTTTTAAATTGTGGTAAAATAAAATTTGTCCTTTTAACCATTTTAAGTGTACAATACAGTCAGTGGCTTTAATTACATCACAATGCTGAGCCTCCACCACCATCCAGCTTCGCGCCCTCCAGCTTACGGTACCGCCTATTAGCATGTATTATTTGGAAGCATATTTAAAAAATGATTACTGTTTTTCTACATTTAAATTTGATTGGGTGTCCTATATTTTATCTGGCAACTCTACCTAGGAGGGAGGTGGAAGCCCGGAACCACGACACAGTTTACAATACAAGCTGATCCTGTGGAGCCAGCGCAGGACCTGCAAAGTGTAACCTGGAGGGGATAATGAACGCACAGAAAGTGTACGTTTCTCGGGTGTGGAGCAGGGAGCCCTTTAGCTGGAAAGAGGCAAGCCCAGGGCCCAGCCTAATACACAGGCAGAAAAAAAGACTCAGAAACATTGGAACAACACTCCACATCTTTAGCTATTAAATTCCGCTTTCTCTTAATAGTTGGCGTTATCCTGAAGTACAGAACCAACTTTTTTCCAGCGGGACACCTCATCACTTCTCTAAGGGCAGATTCGTCAAAATATGTGTAAGGCAAGAAAACCCAGCGAGACGTCTGGCTGAGGAAAGTCGACGCCAAGGCAGTCCTGGGATCTCTCCGGTTGCACTCCTGCCTTAGGCGTCTCCTGCAGCGGGAGAGGGACCCGGCCTCTGTGTCCAAAGTGCTGCGCGAAACGGACCTGCGAGCAGTAACTTCCGGCTCCGGCGCGCGGAGGCGGAGCGGCGCAGGCGCAGGCACATGGGCGGAAAGATGGCGGCTGGATTTAAGTGCGTGTTGGTGGCTGGTGAATGGTTCTTCTCTTAACCCTACCCTGAGGTTTTCTCCCTAGGAGACTGACGCCGCCTGGGTTTATTTTCTTTTTCCTTCCAAGCAGAAGGCGGGTAGGAGGGACTTCATACTTGAAGAATATGTTAATTCCAGTTACAGGGAAAGTAAAGATGTAACTTCCTCATTTAATATCTAGTAAAATGTAACTCATTCGTGATCCGTAAGTTGAGCATACCTGCTTTTGAGCAAGAATGAAAGGGATATTTAACACGTGGACAAATCCTCTTAAAAATTTCAAAGGGCTGTGGACTCCAATCTTACTGTTTAGAGTTAAGGACAGCAGTGAATGTGAGGCTTTCTGCAAGGGTTTCTACTTTCAGTAATTATTTTTTAGTTACAAAAGTGGAAATTTATGCGCATCACACACACTTAAGATCTTTGCCAGTTTCTGGATTTATATTAAGATTCATTAGCTTACCTCAGATATATTTTAACACGTTTCAGAACCGTGGAACCTCTGGAGTATTACAGGAGATTTCTGGTGAGTAAAAGTACATTATGTATTTGGTAAAATCATATGCTGCTTTTAAAGATAAATTTCAAGTATTTTAATTCATTTGAAGCAGTGAGGTTTAATGTGTTTCACTTGTTGTGTGTAAATATGTAATAGGTATTGAGTAAAATATGCAATAAATATAATCTATATTCATACAAACATTTAGAAAGAGAACTGCCGTCCTGATGGAAGGGAACTTGGTGAATTCAGAACTACAACTGTCAACATAGGTGAGGATGTATTTTCCACTTTCAACTGTATGACATTTCTAAGTCTTCGTCTGTGTACCACTTAAACAGTTTTTCAGCCAAATTGTAACATATGTAAGAGATTTGATTTGGGGTTAAGAGATTTTTTTGTGAAGAATAATTAAGTCAAATTCAATACAAGTGAATACCTCTTAAAATCTTAAGTAGTTTAATTATAAAATGAATTACTTGAACTTGGAACTGAGATGTGTAGCAAGATAATCATACATAGAAAAATGCCTAATTTTAACTATATAGGTAATTCTGTAGCTGTTTTCCGTTTATGAATTTTTCATTTTGCTTAAATGCTTTTCAGGTTCAATTAGTACTGCAGATGGTTCTGCCTTAGTGAAGCTGGGAAATACTACAGTAATTTGTGGAGTTAAAGCGGTATGTTTCATGTATGTTCTAATGAGATTTGAGTTTGAGAAAGTAGCTTCATAGATTGTAATACAGACCTTTACTTCTGTTGATGAGGCAGTTGGGAGTCTATTTTAGTTTCCCAAGGGCTTTCACCTATGAGTATTAGATAATGACGACTCAATCTGTTGACTCTTAATTATGTGTAATTTATGAACATTTGTCAAATGTACCGAAACGAAACAAAGATTTGAATCTTGACACAGGTTTTAAAAGAATTTGGTTCTATCATTTGAGAAATTGAGAATTTTGGTGACATCTTTTAAGCCATGGATGGCATTTAATCTGTGTAAACGTGTGGAAAATTTAAAATTGTTTGAAAGCAAAGTTTGAAAAAAAAAAATAAAAGCAAAGCCTGAGGAATAATAACTACCATTTACTGAGTATCTGCTATGTTCCAGGCACCTTATTGGGTGCTTTATAGAATTATCCAGCTTAATCCTCAGAACAACCATTTGTTATTTCTCTCCATCTCCTATTTTACAGATGAGGTTTAATTACTTGTCCATGTATAGAAGGCTCATAAGTAGAACTTAAGACATAAATTGACTCCAAAACTTTTGCTTTTTTTTTTTTTTACTACACTGCCCCTTCAGTTACTTCACCTCAGTTGTTTCTTCCTCAGTAAAGCTGGAGTAATACATAACAGTAAGATGTGAGTACTTACTCCTTGCCAGGTTTTATGCTAGGAACTTAATGGCATTATCTCATTTGACCCTTAATAATTCCCCCTTAATAATTCCTAACAGTCTTAGAAACTGCAGATGAGGAAGTTGGTTTGAGGTTAAATAACTTGCCCAAAGTCTCTCAGCCAATAATTTTGGTCTGACATTGGAACTAGGGTAATGAATGCATATCTTTGCTCTTGACCACCACTTCCAAATTTGGCTGTGAGATCAACTGGGGATGAAATTCAGATTCTTGGCTACCGAATGAGTAGAAGGGAGGGAAGGGCAGAAACCCAATTAATATTTTTAAGAAGATCCCCAATTAATCTTCATGAGCACCACTATAGTGTAGTCACCATACTATACTGTCTTCTTAATCTTGCCAAGATATTGTGAGGTTCGATGCCAGTATCCTTAAGAGCCCCTGACACAATTTCCCAGGTATGGTAAGATGCTCATAATGTGGTAGTTAACTAAGATGGTCTTCGGTAGAGCCATAGCTTCTTTCAATAGGAAACATTTCTTTGCTTTTGTAGGAATTTGCAGCACCACCAACAGATGCCCCTGATAAAGGGTATGTTGGTAAGTTACATAATTTTGTAATTTTAATACAAACCCTTTAACATGTTTAGTAATTGAAAGTCCTGGTATAATAATTGAGTTCAAGAAAAAAATTCCTAATATTCACAAATATTTACATAGTAGTGAAGCACATTCCCCAAAGTTTTCTACGTATGTGTTAGATAACAGAATTTTATAAATTTAACCTTATCAAACTTGGGCAGTTTTTGTTTATACATTCAGATATTACCAACCAAGAAAGAATTTTTTAGCCAAAGGACTGTCACTGCAAACTTTTCTGTTTCCACAGGGATTCAGAACACTATGCAATTTTTATCTTAGACCATCTTTTCTTTATAGTAGGAACCAACGTTTTTCAAATGCATAAGACGGTTGAGTGTAAACAGGGGGGCTATCTTCTGTTGTGGACTGAGCTGTTTTGAAAGAAATCAGGAAAACTCTTGTGAAAGATTTAGGAAGATTGAGGCCTAATACAGATTTTCAAAACTGCATGGAAAAAAAGGGCAGAAAAATAGAAATTTCATTTTATATAAGCCTGGGAGTTTTACAGACCAGAAAAAAAAATATAATTGTAATGTTACAATGGATTCTACTTTGAAAAACCTATTCATGGCTATAGTTGCCTTTGGTGTATACTGCTAATACCTCTAACACTTCAGTAAACCAAAAGGTAAAAGTTTAGTTCATAGCTGTAGAGTGTTTCTTTCAGTTCCTAATGTGGATCTACCACCTCTGTGTTCATCGAGATTTCGGTCTGGACCTCCTGGAGAAGAGGCCCAAGTGGCTAGCCAGTTCATTGCAGATGTCATTGAAAAGTAAGACCACCATGGTAAAATTTTACTGTCATTCGTTTTCCAGATAGTTTTCTGACCTTTCATTTACTGTGCTTTTTGTTATTAAATCAAGTTCACAGATAATCCAGAAAGAAGATTTATGCATATCTCCAGGAAAGGTAAGAGGAGTAAAAAGGTATATACTTTTATTAATTCTGAAATGTTTTTAGTGGAGAAAAGTAAACAGGGAAATTTTAACAAATCACAGTAGCCTTAAATGTGGATGTCTTATAGATTTTGCATGGAATTCAGTTTAAAATAATCAGTCTCATTCTATAAGATATTCTTATTATCAAAATAAGCTACGTAGTTTATAAAAAACAAGTTTGACTTATTGCCTGTCTGGGAGCTACCTTTAAGCTGAGATAATTTTTTCCACTTAACTTTTAGAAAAAATGTAGTCATTCTTTATTCCTTATAGCAGATAATTTCTGATCATGCTAACGTGTTTAAGGTGACTCCATATTGTAGATTCCAAGTTTGTTTGAAAATGTCTAGGTTGGTTAGAACTTGGAGAGCTTTTCTTATTGGATCATATATTGATTTATTAGCACTGTAAAACCTAAACATTTCATGTATTAAGGTGTCTGTGGGAAAGCACATTATAAGTTTCAATTAGGGCTTTCAAAAAACATTTCCTTCATCTGCTAACCTAGCAAAATGAAAATTCCTTTTATATCTATTTCCCCTTGAGAGAAATGGAGATGTTCATCACTTGTCAGCTTAGTAGTCAAAAGTCAGCTTTCACCAAATCTGTCCACTTTTTCTTTGGTATTCTACATAGGGTAAAGCATTTTCTTTAAAGCTTTGATTGGCATAGTGCCTGTAGCAAAGTGGTTAGGGTGCCAGCCACATACATACCTGAGCTGCCGAGTTTCATCCCTTCCCATGGCTTGGTAAACAATGACTATAACAAAAATATAGCCGGGCATTGTGGCCAGCACCTGTAGTCCCAGCTACTTGGGAGGCTGAGGTAAGAATCGTTTAAGCCCAAGAGTTTGAGGTTGCTATGAGCTGTGATGCCATGGCACTCTACCTAAGGCAAAAGCTTGAGACTCTTGTCTCCAAAAATTAAATAAATAAATAAAGTTTTGTGCCTTGAAGGCTATCTTCCTTGTCTGAGAGCTCTGTGGTTCCTGAGTCTTAGTAGATCACATGTTCTATCAGAAAGCTTTGTTTTCCTTTTATGTGTACTTTGTTGTAGCTTGCTTGGGTCCTATACTGTGATCTCATTTGCCTTGACTATGATGGAAACATTTTGGATGCCTGCACATTTGCTTTATTAGCAGCTTTAAAAAATGGTAAGCAGCCTTAAAGGCACTGTTCCTACCAATAGAATGTTCTACTTAGTGAAACTCTTAATGTACATTTGCTTAATAAACTTAAAGATTTTTGTTAAGATTTAGCTTCATGTCCAAATATACTTAGAAGTTTTATACTCTCTCTCTCAACGCCTTTTAAAGTGTTGCTTTGACTATATCCATCTATTTGGGTTAGGACTGCAGTCCTTCCCAAACAATATGTTAGTAGTGTACTAAAGAGTTGTAATTACAGACTATGTGACTGGTGAAGATTTGCAAGTATTCTCTAAGTTTTTATGTTATGTTGCTAATAGGAATAAGGAATACTGTAAGTCTGCATTAACAGTAAACTCCCTCAGTAAAGAGACTAACTAGATACACTGATTTGTTATAGATTTCAGTTAATACTCTATCACTGCATTGCTGAACTGATAATGCAACTAACAATTGTTTATATCTACCATTATTTACCTTACTTGTTCTAAGACAGTTTTTTAAAAAGAATGTTCTAGGGTAGTACCTGTGGCTCAAGGAGTAGGGCACTGGCCCCATATTCTGGCCCCAGCCAAAACTGCAAAAAAATAAAAAAATGTTCTAAGTAAAATAGAAAAGTGAATTAACAGAGGATAGAAAACATTTGTTAGAGACTGACTTTACATATTTGCCCTTTTTCCCAGTACAGTTGCCTGAAGTTATTATAAATGAAGAAACTGCTTTAGCAGAAGTTAATTTAAAGAAGAAAAGTTATTTGAATATTAGAACTTACCCAGTTGCAACTTCCTTTGCTGTGTTTGATGAGTAAGTTGATCAAATGTATGAAATAGTTTCTATATTTAAAGTAAGGTAATTGATTACTATTCTGCTTTCTAACTCTTCAGGAAATGCCTGAGGTGACCCTGTATTCTAGTTTGCCCTGACATTGCACTTATGCTTGTCCTGGCATAACTATTTCTCATCAACCCATCCACTTTTATAAGCATCCTGATTTGTATACTCAGTTCTGTGCTTACTTCACCTTTTCCTTGGTTTATTTATCCCTGTGTAAAGTTAATTTTCAGTTCTTTCACTAAAGAGTTAACACAGATTATAGGTTGCTATTAACTTTTCTGTTTTCCTACCAGTTCTATTTTAGCTTTTTTGATATCAATACCTAGGCTAAATAAAATGCAGGTTACATACAGCATTTAGTATTCTTTTAAAGTAAAATTTGTCTGAAAGATTGATAACTTTTACTTTTTCTTTTTTATAGCACTCTGCTCATAGTTGATCCTACTGGAGAGGAGGAACACCTGGCAACTGGAACCTTAACAATAGTAATGGATGAGGAAGGCAAGCTCTGCTGTCTGCACAAACCAGGCACGTTCTTGCCATTTCAGTCCTAAACATACACAAATAAAGAAAACTCAGTGTGAGGTTTATATTAGGGAAGATCAAATAGAATGTGAGATATTTATTATTATTTACCTAATGTAAGTTTATTATAGTTTTCTTTGTTACCTCAAATTGCTTATATTTTTATTTTTTTATTAGTGATTCTTAAAATCATGGCATGTATCAGAATTACTTGGAGTTCTTGTTAGGACATAACTTGGAATTCCTGAGATCATATCCCTGATTTAGTTTTTTCTTTGTTGTTGTTTCATTTGTTTGACATGATGTTGATTGATGTTTTACAAAGTAAGATAACTGATTAAAAGTACTGGCACAATAATTTTTCAGGTGGAAGTGGGCTGACTGGAGCTAAACTTCAGGACTGTATGAGCCGAGCAGTCACAAGACACAAAGAATTAAAAAAGCTGATGGATGAAGTAATTAAGAGTATGAAACCCAAATAAACAGCCACCATGTTTTCAGAACAGATTTGTAAAAGTTGTAATTTGTTACACTGTGCACAAATCTTTTATACTAAATAAATACCAAACTCCATTCTTCTGAAAGATGTTTCTAGTATTTCTTAGGTTACTTTCGTAATAGTATGTACAGTGAAACCATTTTTAAAAAGCAGTGACTTAGACAAATCAACTCTAGTTTGTTAAACCATTTCCCTGTTTTTATTTAAAAATCATAGGGTTGTGCTTCTGTATAAAGTTTGTACATCTAGCAATGTAAAACACTGACACATTAAAAAACAAAAATGAAGTAGAAACTCAATCTTTTGATTCAATGCTCTTATGTTTAAAAAAAAAAATAATGCAAGACTCAGAATTTTGGGGTGGTTGACGTGCCTCTCTTCATTTTACTTTTTGACTGGCTGCCTGTATGCCGATGACGTTGTAGCTGCGCTGTTTGTGCTGCTGCTGCCGCCATAGCCATTTGGTGCTGTAAGAATCGCAACTGCTGCAAAGGGAGGGGAAAAAAATCAAGTTGTGTTAAATGCAGACAGGTGTGGAAAGGTGCTTTTCCTGAGAGTGACGAAAACAACAAAACTGAAAGGGAGAAAGCACCAAGATAACAAAAAAAGGACTATACCACATTGAGACAATGCACAGTCAAACAGCACCAGTGGCACAGAAGCCTGCTGAGGGCTTTAAAAATGATTCTTGGCAAACTTCAAATTATGTCTCTTACTTTGCCCTGCCAGTCTATATTGCAGTAACTCAGCAACTTCAGTTACCATTTTGTTGTATGATAGTTTATAGCAATATAAAACCACACTGAGTATCAAGATAGTCAACTATATTAATGCTGACTTTCCTTCCTAAAATAATGGTACAACATTTCTCTAAATAAACAGGTATGACAGTCACTAAAAGGGACACTTTTCTGTAGTACAATATTAGGAAGATAACAATTGGCACTTAACAACCGTCTATTGCAAAATATACTACAAACTAGAAAAGTATGTTAATGTTGCCACCAGCACTTCATAAGAGATTTTAAATCAGGAAAAGAGTATGGCTTAAAGGTACAATATGTACTCAGTGCTCCAAGTTGACTGGCTAAAATGTCAGACTTATAAATAAAATTTGCTAAATTATTTACCAAATACTGTATAGTCTTAAAAGACAGTAATATAAAACTAAAGCAAGGTATTCTGAGGTATTTTTGGAGCTAAGTATCTTTAAAAATGTAATCAGAGTGAAGTTGCTGGATTACTTGTATCTGTTGCTGCTGCTGTTGAAAGGCAGAGGAGAGCTGGAATCTCTGCTGAGGAAGGCTTTGCTCAGGTCTGTTCTCGGCAGAGCCAAGCTGAGACAACACTACAGAGAGGAGAAGGGGAAAGCAGGCCAGTCAAAAGTTTGAAAGCTACCAGGGTTAGAAAAGGACAACACAGAAAATGAAATAATAGAAAAGTCAGCAGTATGATTAATCTTAAGTATCAAATTATAGACATTCCAGAATAAATTTAGTATAGTCTCCTGTTAGTTAATGGAACTTTCTGGACAAGGAAAGGGAAGAGACTGCAGGTGTACCAAAGCACTTATATCCCTTCCTCTCTTGCATCTCAATGAAATTTGATACTGGTGCTATTTTGTTTAGAAGACTTTTTCAATGTAACATGAAAGCACATTATTTTAAAAATATAACCGAAGTAGAAAAAGAGGGATTGGAAATCCAAGCTATCATAACAATAAAGCTGGCAGACAATTGCTTTAAACAAAAATGCTGCAATGAGTATTAACAACAAAGGTAGCAAACTAAGACTACACCTTATTTTTAGACCTGAGTAGAAAGACAGTTATTAGTTAAAACCCTCATTTTACAATGAGTACGTTTAAGACTTAACATGGTTTAAGTATAAAGTAATCAGTGACAAGTCTGTTGCTAACATTCTTACGATTTTTCAGCCTAGAGATCTTTCTACTAACTTACACTACAGCTATTTTAGGAGATTTATAACTTGCATGGTAAAGATATATACATATCTAAATTATGTAACAAATATTATTTCCAAAATAAAGGCTTTGATTATTCCATTCTAAACAACTCCTAAATTCAGACACCAGGAGTTACATAGGAATTCTAAGGCCATTACAGTAAGCCCATAGTGATGATAACGTGAAAATATTGGCAACACAGTGAACTCATTCAATCCTCAAACTCTTACCATAGCTTTCTTATACATATGACGTATTGGTTTTAATTAAATATGAAGTTAGAACTGTCTTCAATAGAATAATATTCATTAAGGGTAAATCTGGCTCACCATTTACTGCTGAAGTAGTGAATAGTAATTAGTTTAATCTCACTTTCTTCAAAAGATAAAGTGGCTTACAGAAGTTATGCTATTGACAAGTAAGGTTCAAGTCATTTATACAACTACAAGCTACCATAAAGATGGTATTATCTAGAAAAATGCAACCACAATAACCCAGGAAAACTGGAAAGTTATTAAGATAACTAAGACAACTACTGGCAAATACTGAAAACAGCATTAGTAGTTTCCTAATAAGTTGTATAACTATGTAAAATTTTGCCAGTAAATGGTAAGACGAGGAAAGCACAACTGCTATAAATAGATGTTAAGTTAAAACTCTTAATCAACTGTTGAATGAAAACATCTTAAGACAGTCATCAGTTAATCAATTTAATTGTTTACACATTAAATACAACTAATTTTTCCCTGAGTATTGCTGGCAAAGGAACTTAAGTGGTGAGATCTAAAATGGATTAAATACTTTCAGTAAATTCAGCAGATGAAGTTATGAAAATACCTACCAGCTGCCTGTGACTGCACAAAACTTCCTACTCCAGTAAGGTTAATAACAGCAGCTTGCTGAGCAGATAAGGCCTGTTCTTGAGTGGTTTTACCTTGTTCAGAACCCTGAATAAAAAAATAATATCGACTTATACAAAAAAGGAAAAACAACTTTGAGTTGGTAAAAGAAATTAGAATCTATTTTTCTGTATAAGACGAGGTCTTATAAAAAGAAAAATGTAGGGGAAAGACTTAAAAGGTATTTGAATAAGCAAAACTAAAAATTTATGGTATTTTGAAAAAAAACTTTGTTTTCTGAATTGAATCTGTACTTGTTTATAATTTTATGCTATATTAATACCTCATTAAAACAATTTTTTAAAGCTTAAAAAATCCTTTGTAACAAAAACATAAGTGTTGGAACTTTTAGCCAGCAAAGTAAGTTTAAAAAATACAGATAGTAAGAAAAAACAAAACTGTCCTTATTTGCATATGACACAACCATCTATGCAGATAATCCTGAGGAATCTATAGAAAACATACTAGTTAAGTTCAGTAGGATTGCAGAACAAACAACACACAAAAGTCAATACTAATGTACTACTAACAAACGTGGCAACAAATTAAAAATAATACCACTCACAATTGGTCACAAAAGGAAAAAAACTCACTATTTGGGAGGCTGAGGCAAGAGAATCACCTAAGACCAGGAGTTGGAGGTTGCTGTGAGCAGTGTGACACCACAGCACTCTACTGAGGGCGATAAACCCCCCCCCAAAAACAAAAACAAACAAAAAACAGATATAAACTGAATGTATAGCCCTAAGTCCCAAATTTTCTTCTGTGCTTTCTTCTGACAGTTTTATAATCTCCTATTTTAAATCTTGATCCATTATCAGTTATTTTTTGTATAAGAAAGTGTGTGGGAGGATAATCGGTGGGACCTCACCTACTATGTATATTGCAAGCGTACATGTCAAATATATTACAGTAGAGTATAAATGTCTAAATACAACAATTAAGTGAGGTGAATGATATGCTGACCAGTTGGATGTGAACATTCTAGATGGTATATAGAGTCTGTACACTGTACCCCATAAATGCAGTAATGTATACAATTATGATCTAATTAAAAAAAAAGTATGTGACAGACAACAAACAAACAAACAAACAAACAAAAAATATATATAAGGTTTTGTATGCCAAAACTATAAAACAATGATTTTGGCTTAAACAGAAACACAGTTTTTGTGGATTGGAAGACTCATAATAAAGACAACAATTCTATGCCAAACTGATCAAAAGGTTTAACTCCATTTCTTAAAAATCCAGCAACGTATTTTGTAGATATAGACAAGATGTTTCTAAATTTATATGGAAAAGTAAAGGATTTAGACTAGCTGCAATAATTCGGGAAAACGAGGAAGTGGGAAGAAGACATTGTGCCCAATTTCAAGACTTACTACATAATCTACACAGCGATCACAACAGTGTGGTACTAGCCAAGGAAGAGATACAAAGATCATCAATGGACAATAACAGAGAACCCAGAACAGTCCCACACAAAATAGAGCCCACTGACCTTTGATAAAGTTAATTCAAATGAGGAAGAATGGCTTTTTCAACAAATGGTGTTGGAGCAATTGGACAGTCATAGGAGGAAAAAAAAAAAAGAACCTGGAGCTAAGTCACACACTTTCTTATACAAAAAATAACTGATAATGGATCAAAATTTAAAATAGGAAATTATAAAACTGTCAGAAGAAAGCACAGGAGAAAATCTGGAAATTAAGGCTAGATAGAGTTTTTTGGACATAACACTTAAAAGCACATTCCATAATGGAAAGAAAATATTAACTTGGACATCATCAAAATTAAAAACTTTTCTGCAAGACACCCTTTGGTAACACCTAAAATAATGTCTGAAGTAACATTTCAGTAGTTATATTTATCTTGAGGGGACCTCCATGTGTATAGAAGGAAACTACACAGAAGAGCACAGAGCTGACAGTAGCGATGCTCTTAAAACTTGAAACCCAGTTCATGAAATGAACAACAGAAAACAGCAGAGTACCATCATCTCCCCAATTGCTATCATAAAACAACCAGGAAAAAAAAAAAAAAAACCCAGCTGAAAAACCCAAATTTCCTCCCTAAAAACACCCTACAAACCTAAAGATTGTAAGGCAACACCACCAACAGAATTAATGCTGGAATAATGAAAAAACACCTGAAATAAGAAATACAAATACTTAGAAATGACTCACGCTAAAACCAAAAGGATGAAAAAGATATAAGCTAACACTACTCAGAAGTATTAATATGTACTAGAGATGAAGGTCATTTGCTAATAAGGCGTCAATTAATTAAGAAAATAATCCTAACTGTGTGTGCACCTACTATTAGCAAAAATTAATAGAACCAAAAAAGGATATTTAGAAATTTCCAGTTTTTGTTAAAGACTTCAACACTTCACATAGAAAGAAAATCAGTAGAAATGCAGAAGACCTAAACAATATCAGCAAATAACGTGATCTAACACAGAACACTCCTAACAACAGTAAAATACATTTTCCCAATCATACCATATGGAATATTATCAATAGAATATCATCCAGACAACATTCTGGAGCATAAAAAAACAAACTTAAAATATGTTATCAGACCATAGTAGATTTAAACTAGATTATCAACTACATAAAGGTATCTAGGAGATTCCCAACTACTTAGAGATCAAACAACATATTTAAATAACCCAGTAAGAGAATTTGTGGAACATTAGAAATTTCTATGGAATAAAATGAAGGCACAACATAACAAAATTTGTGGAAAGCAGATTAAATAGGGTTGAGAAGGAAATGTGTAACAATAATATTTAGGTCATCCCAATAATCTAAGTTTCTACTTTAAGAAACTAGACAACTATAATCCAAGAAAATCTTCCAGAAATAAAGAAGACATGAATCTACACATTAAAAAGACCCACAGGAAAGACACGGACAGATCAATTCTGACATATAGCTATGTAAAAATATAGATCTAATAGATAAAGACAAACAGTAGGGGCCTCTAAACAAAATGATTTAATAAATAAACTTAGAAGAGCAATATAAGAAGACTGGCATCGGATTTCTCAAAAACAAAGCCAACACTAGGAAACATTTTCAATAAATTTAAAGAAAGAAACCCACCTATAGAACACTTAGAAGAAAACACAGTAAAAAAGAATCATGACATTGGATTTCATGGCAATGATCTTCAATAAGATACCAAAAGCACAAACAATAAAAGTAAAAGCAGATAAAATGAACTACATCAAAATGTAAAACCTTTGTGCAAAGGACACAATCAATAGTGAAAAGTTGGGCAGCGCCTGTGGCTCAAAGGAGTAGGGGACCGGCCCCATATGCCAGAGGTGGTGGGTTCAAATCCCAGCCCCGGCCAAAAAAAGCAAAAAAAAAAAAAAAAAAAAGTGAAAAGTCAACCCATGAATGGAAGGACATCTTTGCAAGTCATATATCTGGATATAAAGAATACATGAAGAACTACAATTCAACAACAACAAAAAAACTTGATTAAAAATGAGCAAAGGGCCTGAATAGACTTTCTCTAAAGAAGATATGCAAAAGGCCAGGAAACATATGAAAAGATGCTCCACATCACTAATCATTAAGGAAAAGCACAGTATCACCTGACACCCATTAGGATGGCTGCTGTTTAAAAAAAAAAAGCCGCAAACCACCACCACCAGAAAATAACAAGCATGGAAGGATATACGGATAAATTAAATAGAATCTTTGTACACTGTTGGTGGGAAAGATATAAATGCTATAAGCCACTATGGAAAACAGCATGGTACTTCTTAAAAAATTAAAAATGGATGAACACATGACTCAGCAATCCAATTTCTGGGTATATATCCAAAAGAACTGAAAACAGGGTCTCAAAGAGATGACTGACTATATACCTATGGTCATAGCAGTAGTATTCACAATAGCCAAAAGATCGAAGCCACGCAGTATCCATCAATGGATGATGGATAAACAAAATGTGGTCTATTCAGCATTAAAAAGGAAAGAGATTCTGGCACATGCTACAATACAACATGGACAAACCTTGTTTCACTTTATGCTAGTAATCAAAAAGGACAAATATGCCAGACACAAAAGAGTCACTTCCATTAGATATTTTAAGTAGATCAACTCATAGAAACAAAGTAGAATGGTGACTGCCAGGAGGTACGAAGAGGGGGAAATGGACAAGTGTTATATATTGGAGGTAGAGTAGCAGTTTCATAAGATGAAAAAGTTCTAGAAATCTGTTGCACAATGTTTATTACACTTAACACTACTGAAATGAATACTTAAAAATGGTTAAGATGGTACATTTTATGTGTATTTTACTATAGCTGAAACATTTTTTTTAATTAAAAGAAAGCCAACCAAGGATTTTATATTCAAACAATCCTTATTGTGCTAAGAATAAAAAAACTAGTTTTGAATGTGCCTTTTAAAAACAATCTACCAGAAAATGAGCTTTAGCTAACTAAGGCTACTGGAAAAACCTGGGCAAAGGCTTCATATAATTTAACTGTGAGCTACAGAAACTCTAGGGGTGAGACCCAGGAATCAGTACTTTTTAGTTTCCCAGATGATTCCAAAACATAGCCAAGGTTTAGAAACACTTTACTTCTTCTCCCTACTTTAATTTACTTCAGCTCTTACTCAATTTCTTTTGTTGAGCAGTGTACACATATTTGTTTTTGTCTGTGTTCCCACTGCCCTATACTTCATGATATTCCAATTACATCAAAATCCTTTGAACAGAAAGACAATGACTGGATAGAAAATATGTATGTAAGCCACAGGGGCAGAAAAGACCTAAGTTTGAATCTCTGGCTCTGCCACTCTCCGTGTGGCTATGAACAAGTGTCATTCTTTTTTTTTGAGACAGAGGTTCTCTATGTTGCCCTAGGTAGAGTGCCGTAGCATCACAGCTCACAGCAATCTCAAACTCTTGGGCTTAAGCGATTCTCTTGCCTCAGCCTCCCAAGCAGCTGGGGCTACCGGTGCCTGCCACAATGCCGGCTATTTTTTTGTTGTAGTTGTCATTGTTGTTTTTAGCAGGCTCAGGCTGCGTTCTAACCCAACAGCCCCGTGTATGTGGCCAGCGCCTTAACCACTGAGCTATGGGCACCAAGCTGAACAAGTGTCATTTATCTGAATGTAATTCCTACTATGCAAGATGCAGGTGACATCATCTATTCTATATGGCTGTTTCATTACAAATAGGCACCAATAACTGAGAGATACTATTGTTAATAAAGAAAAACACTATAAGAAACGTTTGTTTCAATAAATAAAAGCCTTGATTGTAATACACAAACACAGGTTATAATTTCTATGGTAAAAGCACATGCAAGACCAGAAAACACACACCTGCTCCCCAGGTGGCTGAAGACTTGAAGTTGTAGGCTGCTGAGGTTGTTGTGGCGTGAACTGAGATAGCTGCTGTTGCTGCTGTTGCTGCAGGGTGTTAAAAATGAGTGAACCACCTGGAAGCTATTAAGAATTTAAACAAGAATTAACCAAATTCACATTTTTATATAAAATCGTTAAATTTCTTTATTCCACATAAAAATACCTCAGTGACTAGGTACTATGCAAATCACTGAGGAAATAGAGATGAACAGAAACCAAAACCTATTGACAGCCCTTAAAAAAAGATCTATTTAGAAACAATTTTAAGTGTTATTACTTTGAGTTCCCAAATGTTAATACCTCAAACATAAAATCTACCCAAATTTACATACCATTTTTCATTTTACTCTTCTTATGTATCAATACCAAAGAGCATTAAATGCATTAGAAAGAAAAAGCAAGAATCTTGGGAATCAGAAATGTATATTAAGAAAACCTATCCTCCAAAATTTATTCTAGCTTTGCTAAAAATTCAGAAATGCATGAATTTCTATATAACATAGTAAAGAATTCTGAAGCTGAAAAAAAAAGCATATTAGATATCTATACTTGGTTTGGAGACCATAATCTGCTGTCCCTCTGAAATATAAATTGATTCAAATTAAAAAAAATAATTTAAGAAGCATCCAGAAATTTTATGTTAATAATTAAAACAATGTTTTCCAAATGCACCAGAAAATAGCTTTTTCATTTTTAAGCTATAGGGATTGAAGTTATAAGTACTCTGAGGCCTTACCAGAATGTCTACAATAGTACCAGCTATCAAATTTTAGGTCTGTATAGGCATCTTTTGGTCAAAATATCTACATCCAACACAGCTCACTGTTAGGTAAATTTGGACATAGCACAGATTGGTCATCCTTTCCTCAATTAGCAGATGGTAAATATAGAAAAATGTAATAAATTCATAAGGTGGCTTTGTCTTTATTCCTTATTATCAGTGCTAAGACTGATCCTTGAGAGAAATTCCAGGGGCAATATGCAAGAAAGTAGGTTAAATAAACCAATGTGATCTGTGGTCTTGTCCATCTTACAAGAATATTGTTCCGCAAGTGCAGTCTGCATATACTGATGCTATTTGCATCTTGTATAAGAAATAAGTTTTAAGTTTTAGCTCTAACAAATTTCCCAATTGTTAATCCTGAACACTAGTTTGGTTGATCTGTTATTTCTCAATAATCCAAAGCTCTATCACTTATATCTTTAAATCTTTACATTTATGTCTATCTTTAAGTTCTTTATATAATCCCACTCATCTTCCAAACTACTAGCTTAATACCTTACTCCTTCTTTAAATTAGAGGACCTCACATAAGACCCCAAATATTGTGAATTTATGTGTTATAAAATTTCTATTTTCTATCTCTATGAATATAGACACTAAAAATATATATGTACATTTAAGAAAAAAATAAGCCTCATCATTAGTTGCGTACTATAATCCAACAAGCATTTACTGAATGACTATTAGGTGCCCACACCTATATTAAGAAATCATACCCTCCTCAGGAAATGAATAATTTAAAAAATCTCCATTCAAGCACAAAATCTATTATAAGCAACAGTATTACATATATGTATATGTTGGGAGAGCAATTATTTCATAAGTATATCCACTACTATTATTGCAGACAAGTATCCTTGGAAGGTGTCAGTTCTCTCTATTGGAATAGCTAGTTAACTAGGTAAGGCTGCTGGAGCCAGTGAAAGTATGCTATATAGAATGAACACTGCCTAAAGCCTCCTTATCCACCTGACCACACAAACACAGCAACAGCAATCACACCCTTAGAAATCTCTAAACAGAATTCAAAATTTTAAATGCTAATTATGTACAGATAAAAAAATTAAAATATAAAAACATCAATCAAAAGCAGTTTTTCAGGTTTACCTGGAGGAGATTTAAGGGCCTGAGACTTGAAGTATTTTTTAAACCAAATGGAACACCTGTTAAATGAAACTTATGGTTATAATAGAATTAAAACTTTGTAACACATAAAAATAATTTATACTTAGTATACTTAAGCACATTTTATGTATTCTGCACAGATGTGCTTATTGTCCATACTTTTAAAATATCTTTTAAAAAATCATCTTCTTCAGTATTTATCAATACTGAGATTATAATCAAAGATGTGGCACAGCATATGTACATTATATTCTACTATTTCAGAAACTGAGACTTCTTTTCCCTATTCTGACTGATGGCTGAACAAACAGTAAGCTAGAATTACTACAACACCACGAATATAACAAAACTATCACTGCTGTACAAACACCTGTCAGGTGCCTCTTCTTAAATTTCTCAGCACTGCATAGTATACCGTAATAATACCTCTAAGAAGTGGTGTGCTCTATCTTGTTTTCTAAACTACAAATGCTAATATTCAGAATGCTAAAGAATAATGAAATTTTATGTGTAATGATCAAAATCCAAAGTCAGGAAATAAGTGCTCTGGTAATTATGACCTTATTCCTAAAAATCTGTGATGCAATATACAGTCTATCTCAAAGCTGGGGAGAAGAACTTTTTACAATAAAGGCCCCAATGTAAGCTTTGTGGGCCACATGGGAGAGGGAACCATATGTTGCCTTGAGGCTGCAGGTTGCCCACCCATGCTGGTAACCCTGGTCTCAAAGTACGTGCATATTTTGCACACTAAAAAAATATGTATCTAGTACTCTCTATCAGATAATTTTATTTAAAACAAAAAGATGTGAGGCAAGAAATTCACCTGATAACTGCTGCTTGTTGTTTTAAAAAACTGAAAAGTAGGCTTGGCACTTGAAGCTCAGTGAGTAGGGCGCTGGCCATATACACTGAGGGTGGCAGTTTTGAGCCCAGCCAGGGCCTGCTAAACAATGACTAAATAATACAAAAAATAGCTGGTCATTGTGATGGGCGCCTGTAGTCCCAGCTACTAGGGAGGCTGAGGCAAGAGAATCGCTAAGCCCAAGAGTTTGAGGTTGCTGTGAGCTGTGATGACACAGCACTCTACCAAGGGTGACATAGTGAGACTCTGTCACAAAAAAAAAAAAAAAAAAAAGAAAAGTATAATCAGATAGAAATATGATGAAATTGATATTCCCTTTCTTCTTTTTAAGGTAGATGACATCTGTATAATGCTTTCTAGACTTCCAAGGGCTTCATTTATTTCTTTTAAGCACCAAAAAAAGTTAAGATATTTTTACTTCCATTTTAGAATGAATGAAACTGAAGAGAGAATTAAGTAACTTAACTTCTCCAAGGCTCCACAGTTAACAACTGAAACCACATGTCACTGGTTCAAGTGGTAGAGGTACATAAATGTAAATGTTCAAGATCTGATTCTGTTTCCAGGGCTTTTGTCACCAGAGTGCATTTAACTTATGTACATGTTTATTAAAATAAGAACACTAGCTAAAATCAGGAAATCATAGCAACATGTTAACATATGTTTTAATTATATTCTTTGGGTTCCCTTTCTTATAATTCATAGAAAGTGGGGTCTTCAATGCACAATGTGATCACAGTTCACTAAATCCTCAAATTCCTGGGCTAAATTGATCCTTCTGAACCAGCCTCCCCAGGTAGCTAAGACTACAAGTACACACCACTATGCCCAGCTAGTTTTTATTTTTTTATATTTTACATTTTGTAGAGACAGAGTCTTACCATGTTGCCCAGGTTGGTCTTGAATTCCTGGCCTCAGCAATCCTCGTATCTCAGCCTCCCAAAGTCATGGGATTATAGGAGTGAACCACTGTGCCCAGCCCACAGAATGCTTTTGACAAATTTTTCTGATTATGTTATTTTTCCTCAGTAGTGAGAAATTGAATTGTTGCAAAATATTACCATATATTCTTTGAAAGAGCATCAAAAAACCCCACAAGTTATTGTAACTGTTCACCTATGTAATAATAGCTGTTACTGAAAATGAAGATAACAAATATCTGCGAATGCAGGAGCAGTTTAAACACATCATCTGCATTTGTTCATTTAATACTCATAACTGTGATGCAAATTATTATTGCTATGCCCATTTTATTTACAAGAAAATGATACTCAAAGGGAACTTTCCCAAGATTACACAAATAGTGAGAGAACTTTAAAGGCTTTTGAAATCAAATACCTGAGATATAATACTGCATTAAATAATGACATTAAATGCCTGTCATACATAATATTCATATTTTTATGTTAGCATCTACTTTAGTCTTTCAGAGATTATTATTTCCAACATTCTGACCTGCTTGTGAAGCTGTCTGCATCGCACTAGGCAATGCATTTGGTAGAAGACCTCCTGAGGGCAGAAGTCCACTCAGGTTTATTCCTGTAGGAGTTATGGCACCAGTGTTACAGCCCAACATGGGGTTTGAACCACTCATCAAAGCCTGGGTCCCACTGCAGAAGAATAAAATAAAGTACTAAAATTCCACCATAAAAAGAAAAATCAATCACACAAGTCCTCAGATTAAAAAACAAGCAAACTACTAAACAAACACTGTTAGTCATTTCTGTCTTAATATCAATTTCTGGGCTTGATTTCATTTTATTGCTGAAAAGTGACAGCAAAGTTGGGTAAAATGAAGTACTCAGTATTTATTTATCAAGGTTTAAAATGTAATTTGAAAAAGTAAACTATTAACCAAGGAACTAAAAGATAACACAGAGTATAAACAGAAAAGTCCAAACTACTATTAAGTTATCATCTCAGTGCACTTTGTAGACGTGTCTTCTAAAATTAAAAATTCATGTGAAGCAGCTTCTGTCCATATCTTAACGATTCCCTTTCAGTTAAAGTAACATGCAATTTGTTTTAAATTTTAAATAAAAATTTATTTAGATTGGTGAAATTGTCTTAAAATGAACAAAAACACCCAACCAGGACATCAGCAAACTTACCAAACAGAGCCCACTACATTGATGAAGTTAAGTCCAGTAGAATTTGCCATGACCTGGGTGGCCGTAGTTCCTGTAGTTATAGATGTTACCATGGTGGAAAGAGGAATGGTCGTTACAGGCATTGCCTGGCTCAGAGACCTTTGCTGCTGAGCAAACTGAGTTAACAAAGTGGGCTGAGGGGTGAAGCCTGAATCTTGGGGAGTAGGGGTGGCAGAAAGGGTACTAGGAGTTGAGCTCTGAGCATCAGGAGGGTGTGGGGTCGATGAAGGGGTTGGTGTAGGAGTAGATGGCTTAGGAGTTCCAGATCCTGCTCATTGAGAAAAATAAAAATTGCTAGTTTGTTATAAATGGCCAGTCCTTTTTAAAATAAGGTTAATGGAATCTTACTTAGCACTGACAATTTGTTCCAGTTTTTTTTATAAGCAGTTAACTGTAAGTGTTAATTTCTACACATGATACATGAGTGTTGCTACACTCAATTACAATTAAGGATGCAGTATATCACATAAAACCCCATTAGAAATGCTATTACCATAACAGTAAAAATATACATTTGTATTCTACCCCAATACCCATTTGAAAGTTGGTTTCCTACAAGCTGCCTTTGGCCTAAAAAGTTCAAAAGGAATTCAAATTAATTTATTATTTGCAATCTTACTAATTCAAGACTACATTTTAAAATATTGCTTATTTAGTGTAACAGTCTGAGATAAACTATGAACATATTTAATAAATTACATGTGGTTAACAATTATATTTGCACCTAAATATACATGTTTAATTCCTAACACATCAAGTTTTCCCTGACACACAATTTACAAAAAACAGTAATAAAGCAAGTATTTGATAGATAATACTGCATCTTTAACAGTAACTGTGTACTTCTGTTTAAATGTAGAATGTATAGAAAATCTGTTGTGAATGAAGTATGCACAGTTTATCGATTAAAAAAAAAAAAAAAAAAAAAAACGAAAACAAGAAACAAAAACCAAAAAAGTAAAACCAAAAGCTCTTGAGGTGTTTTCTTTTTTAGCTTTCATGTCCTGCAGAAAGAAAGGAAAGAAATGTGAATGTCCAGAAGCTGTCACTCAACCCTTACTTAAAGTAACAACTGTGTGCAGTAGATTACCATAATCCATACCCACAACATAAGAAGTGTGAATAAGACTTTCAGAAAATTTATATATTTTTCTTTGTGCAAAACAAGAAGGCAGAAAAATTACACCTTTTGAGCTATCAAGATGAAGATGTTTACATCTAACGCGAAGACCACCCTATCACTGTGCAGTGTACTAAAACTTTCAGCACACATTAATTATCTACAAAAAAATCTAAAAAACTGGAATGCTTTTTTCCCCCAACTTGGTACCTAAAATATTCAGATATTTACTAAGGAAATTCTCCCAAACTAATATTAGCATTCTTGTATAACTCTTCTTGATGTTTCAAAAAAAAAAAAAAAAAGTACTCAATAGTAAAAACTACATTTTACTATCTTCTAAATAATGCTTTATGATCATCGCATTTAGTAACTGACAATAATTCATAAAAGAGTGTAGGGGTGTTTTTGAAACATTGGTTTTCAGTTTATTCTATCACCACCTTGGAACTAGTTGGCTTCTTACATATAACAATTCTTAAGACATTTTTTTTTCGTATCTGCCACATAGTTTACATAGAATTTAAAATAATCCTAGGGTATACTGGGATAAAAAACATTTTGAAGTCTTATTGCCATATGTAACTACCAGATTATTTTTTTAAGGAGATGTGTAGGCTGCAAATCTATAAGAAAGGTATACACAGAGTGCATACATAGATACAGAAAAACAAGTACAATTACAATAAGGACATTATACATACAATCAACAAGAGCTCTGCCTGAAGCTTCTCGCAACTTACACATTTTGGGTACACAGTACATTCAGATTTCACTATTTCATAGGTTGAAAAGCTGCCTTAAGAAACATTAATGCAAAAGCTTATGAAGACTTAAGGAAGAATTTAAGTTATGACTCACTTTGTGATGAGCTGGCAGGTGACAGGGTAGCTGGAGAAAGCATGCTACCTTGACTGAGATCCACAGATGACTTCCGAGAAAGACTCGGTGGCTTGGAAGAAGGAGGAGGAGTTGGAGATTTAAGAAAGCTGCTTGCCTGTTGTGGTGTAAAATAGTTACCTAGAAATAGAATGTAAGTTATTTCCCAAGTTACTACTCAAAATTCTGTTAAAGAAATAAGTATCAACAAAGTTTTAAAAAGAAATTATCATTGTATAGTATCTCTTACTCTAGATTATAGAAAGCTAAGAAATGTAATACCTGAGGAACTATTTCCTGAGCTTGAGGGAAGTTTGATGGGTGGAGGACGATGCTTTACTCCTTTCCCCAGTACTGAAGACTGAACTGACACAGTCTCAGGCTGCTAAAAGACAGTCACATTAAGAATACTTGTTAAAATCAATACCACTTTAATTCCCAGATAAAAGCACACAATTTATAACTGCAAAACAGTTATAGATTTAATATTACAGAGGAATATAATTTTATAAGACCCATGAAATGTATTATAGTAAACATAAAGGATAAGAAGATTTCTAAGGAAGAGGGTGGGAAGAAGCTTGAGGGAGAAAGGCAGAGTAAGACGAAGGCAAAGTTCCCACCCTTCTATGTCTATCGTTTCCAGGAAACTAACTGTTAAACTGTCAAAACCAGATGACTAGAACATGGGTGTTCATTATACTTTTCTAACTTGCCTACATTAAAAATTTCTAATACAGTTAAATCATTTTAAAAAGTTGAACTAAACGATACCCCCACCTCTCAAAAAATAATCTTTTAATATTTCTCAGACTCCTTGAAAAACAAGCACAAAAAGTAACAGTACTAAACACACTTCTGTTTCTTTCCCTGGAGAAAGTTGACTTAGACTGGCTGAGCCACTGGAGCTGTGTGACATCTTGATTGGACATTTGGCTTCGTTCTGGACCAATTCCTGATACTGATTAACTACCCTGTAATAGTAAGGGTAAATAGGTAAGGATTAGCTAACCCTGTTTTAAACACAAATTTGTTATATAAGAAATAATGTCTTAAAGGGAAATAAAAGTTCTATGAAAATTAACACAAAAATTTAAATCAAGCAGTTTCTTCGTGTTAAAAGCACATTCTTCTAACCTTTTCAATGACAAGCTAATGTCTAAAACATTTTGCTAGGTAACAGTCGGAAGACATACTTTGAATTTCTTATTTCTAATACAGAAATTTCAGCAGTTATTTAACTAATAAGCAACCAGAGGAAAATACTGCCTTGCTCTTAGATTCTGATTATTACCTATCTCCTTCCTTAACTATAGGAGATATCTCTTTTCTTATATGAAACTAAACTGTATTTTAAGTATTATTCTTTTATTTTCTTAATCTATGAAAATATCTGCTGTAGTAAGAACACTGGAAAAATGCAGTTAAGTGCCCTCCCAATCTCATCCTATGAAAACAACCATTCTTAACAGTTTGGCTTACCACAGAATCAACAGAATTTTAAAGTTGGAAGAGATTTTATTGCCTAATAATCTAATTTTATAGCTGAGGCTCATAAATAATGTTGTATGTTTAACCACTTAAAGGCATAACTAAAATCAAAGTTTTTGATTCCTAATAGAATACTCTCTATCTGATAATGGTGAAGTTTTCCCTATACTTTCTGACCAAAAATAAAGATGCAAATATTTTTACCTCTCAGCATCAGTCTTTGATCCAATAATAAACCTAAAATGTTTAAGATACAAAAAAGAGAGAAAAGTATTAAAGAGTTGTTGTATAAAACGCTGAAATTACTTTTTAAGTCTTCCATATTTTAGTACAAGTCTTCCATAGTTTAGTAACAGTAATTTTATAAATTGATATTCTACCAAGATTTTTTTTTAAATTAAAAATACATTTAAACTTACAAAGCAATGACCAAGTTTTACATGCATTATGAAATCACCATATGAGTAAATTAACTGACTTAATTTCAGGGAAATTTATTTAGGCCAAAATTTTTTTATCAGAATATAATGTGGAAGTTTACAAGGGATATACAACCTTATAAGTGTTGGCCCTGAAGCAAAAGCACTCAACTACCATGGACAAGGCCCTGGGCCTTCCTCTCACTTTAACCTTTGATTTCAGAAGTTATTTATGTCCACATAACAGGACCTTAGAATATATTTCAGATAAGGAAGATAGTTTATTTCCAATTCAAATAACATATCTCTACCAAGTTCTTTCATAGAATTTGACATTTACATGATTTCTTAACAGATTAAAACAGTGAGATTATTTTTTAATTACCAATTTGAATGATCATCTGTGGAGGAGCTAAAATATAAAATGTTAAAAAACCTTGGTTAATGCAACTCAAACTTTAACTACAGTTTTTAAATAAACTATTTTATGAATATGCGAGATAATAAATCATGCAGCATTTTTCCAGTGACTCTTGATAGAAAAGCAGACATTTTAATTTACTACCTACCTGTCAACCAAGTTAGTCAGTTTGCTTTTTGGACCAATTTTTTTTATGAGAGAACCTGTATTACCCTTGTGTTCTAGAACACTTAGTAAATTTTAAATGAAATATCTTTAAGTGAAAGATTTTTTTAAAAGTATAGGTGATCAAAATACATGATCTTTGTACTCTACATAGAGCAATAAAAACTGGTAATGTGAAAAAACTACCTAAAGATTCCCTAACTATTACTATTTCCTCTCATTGACTTTCATCTAGGTATTGGTGAGGTTACTTTTTAAATCCACCTTTCTACTGTAGTTTCAATTCGTATTTTGTGTAAGTAAAGGCTTTACAGTTTAATGTAAACCTGCTTCCTGACCTTTTCTGCTGAGCTCCTTTTTTTGTCCTTTTCAAAACAGCATCAATTTGATCAGAAAACAAAATAATAACACTAACAACAAAAACAAAGTACTGATATCCGTACTAAATAAAGTTTGTATGATTTGGAAGATCAACTATAAGGTCCCAAATAAGTATATTATGCACTGAGTCTGTCTCCTTACATGCAGTGCTGAAATAGCAGGGACCTTTTAATATTTATAGCAAATATGCTTTGCAGATGGCTCTGTACTGCGGTGGATAGCAAACATGCTTCCCTTTTAACATAACTGCCCCAATACTTCATGCTCATAGTCATAAGGGCCATAAAAATACCAAGAAGAATATCACAGGCATATCTTTCAAAGTAAGAATAAAAATAATTACACCACAGTTTTTAAAAAGAAATTATATTTTAAATTACTCTTGGACAACCTGGTATGTTTTAAGCTTACACAGGTTCACTACCAAATCTAATTAGTATACTTAACAAATGAATTCCCAAAGGGAAATTTTTATTCATTAATGGTTATTAGTAGTTGCTAAATTATGAATAACTGATTTTGTCATTAATATTTAACAGAACTCACGGTGATGGAGACATCTGGCTGTCACTTTCTTCATCTGCCTTACATGGCTGTATTTTACCATAGTAAAGGGGATCACCAAGTGACTGCAAGATGGTCAGTTTTGTTTTTTGATATTGATTACCAGCTTCACTTTCAAATACATAATCATCCTTTACATCCTGAAAGACATATAACATCCCAAATAAATACCTTCTCAAGTAAATAATCAGAATTAGTAAAAACTAGGAATAAATGACACACTAATTTACAACCAACAATACAAAGACACATGGACTGTAGGCCATAAAAATGTTTAAAGACTAAGAGAAAGACTGGGGTAATTTTTAAAAATACACACTAAACATACATCTAATAAAACATTAATATACACTGTGAAGTATAAATATATATGTTAAGAATATATCATTAAATATATTATACATAATTTGTATGCTGGGAATCCTAATAGTAACATTTATGGAACATCGTTGACACTCCGTAAGTACTGCCTCATACTCTTCACAATATGGAACTAAGCAGACAGGTTAAGTGACTCGTCTAGGGTCATCCCCCTACTGGCACCCTGGCCCCTCATGTTGCCCCACCTCTCCATGCTCAGCAAGACTGTACTGCTTTCTTTTCTACATGGTACTTTTACAAGTTCAAATGGAGTTTTAGTTTTTAGTTAACCAAGTTTGACAGAAATACAGTAGAATTTCATACTGGACATATGAATTAACAATATAATACTGAAAGGATTAAATTTCCAAAAGCAGATACATTTCTATTTGTCTGCTTTTACAATCATACATAGAAAACATCTCTCATCGTTTTACTCCTAGGGCTCATCTCACTTAACATACTATGACTATTTCTCTCTATAAGAAGTTATTATTACAATTAGAGGAACTTATACAAAACATCTCTGTCAAGAGACATCCTTAGAAGAATTTAATAATTTGAAGCAGAAAACTACCAATATGCAAACCAAAACAAAAATTAAATCTAATAAAGTGTTAACATATACTATTAAGTATAAATATATATGTACCTAGAATTTTAAAATTGCTCTTTAAAACAGAAACCATAATTTTGTATTAAAGTAAGAAAGTTGTATTTTGTCATTCATGAAACCCCATATAATCCTTTTTCAAAAAAAGGTCTTAAACTACAACATTTGCACTTTATGTTCAACGATAAATTCAGATCCCAGGATAGACAGACACAGCATCATTGGAAACACAAGCAACGATCTTACATGGGCTGGCCAGACTGTTGGTTGTGAGTCATCAGATTTGATAGACTTTTCTACTTTAGCATATTTCTCCACCTAATCAATCAAAGCAAATCAAGAGACACCAAATAAAATGGAATCAGTATTCTAACCAAAGAGAAGAACCTCATATATAACTCAACAATATGATATCTTTACTAGCACAAGAATTCTTGAATCACTAATATCACCAACTACTTAAGCTTAAGTGTAAAACTCCTCTGGTAAGTTCAGTTGTAACTTTAAAATAGACAGCAGCAAGAAGAAAGGGTGAGTAGAAGGAGGGGAGAGACGTAGAGAAGCAGGTTATAGGGTATAAGCATGTTTAAGACAAAAAGAAAAAATTCAATATTTGTTAACAGTAGGACTGCTATACTTAACAAAAATGTAATGTATACACACCCTGAATATCCTGGCTTGATCACCGCTACATATTATGTACATGCAACAAAATTTCATAGGTACCCCATAAATGTGCACAAACAAAGAAAAAAAAGGTATTATCCTCCCCCCAACCCCATTTATTATTTGAAATTTAGGTTAGGCTATTTCTATTTTTATGTTATTTTTTGCTATCAGCAACACTACACTAAACCGTCCTCATATTGTGTACAACTTTGATTATTTCCTTTAAATAAAGTTATAAATAAGTTAAAAAAAAAATTTTAATAACAAAATTAAATAAATAAATGTAATAAACACAGCTGGCTTTTCTAGATGGTGCCTCTTTTTTTGCTGTTTTTTTTCCCCATAAGCTGACACCTCATTTGTCCTTTAAGGGCTCTTCCTTTAGGAAAAGTAAAATGTCGGAGATATATTATGAACTAAGATCCTTTCCTTTTGGCAAACCTTTTAATGGAACAGGAGTTGTCATGTTAACAATGGGGACAATTAAAGGAGACAACATAAGATATAATACTAAATTTGATATCAGTTCCTGAATCTTTTCTACTTTCTAGCTACATATTCTGTATGTTCCAAGCATCTGATCATAAGAGTATTTTATACTCACTTAGGCACCTGTAAAAAATACCAGACTTCCTGCAAGAGAATCTACAATTTAACAAGTTCTCCAGGTTGCAGTTCTGCCAAAAGATAGTGTGGCTCACTTCCTTGAGTGATATATATAGTCTACTAATGTTTTTGGCTTTTTAATGTTTTTGTTTTTTATAAAAGTTCATAATGCTTTGTGCTTTGCATATTTTTGAAAACTTACAGATAGTAAGAATAGTGTATGTGCTAGACTGGAAAAAAAAAACAATAAATCTGTTAAAATAACTAAACAACTGTTAAGAGTTGAGTGAATAATAAGAATATGGGAGAGGGGCGGCACCTATGGCTCAAAGGAGTAGGGCACGGGTCCCATATGCCAGACGTGGCAGGTTCAAACCCAGCCCTGGCCAAAAAAAAAAAAAAAAAAAAGGGAGAAAAACAGGAAAATAAATTATAGGACCTCTTATCAGAATATCCCTCTCCTGTCTTCAAACATTTATAGTTCAAGCATTAGAATATGACCTGAGGATCCTAATCTTGGTCGCTGCTTCAGTATTATGAATCTATTAACCAGTTTGATAAAAGAAGCATTATTAGATGTTCCTATATAACTTTTTATTTTTTTATTAAATCATAGCTGTGTATAATAATGCAATCATGGGGTACGATGTGCTGGTTTTATATACAATTTGAAATAATTTCATCAAACTGGTTAACACAGCCTTCATGGCATTTTCTTAGTTATTGTGTTAAGACATTTACATTCTACACCTAGTAAATTTCACATGTACCCTTGTAAGATGTTCCTATATAACTTAATGTGCTTCCAAAAATGAGCAGCTGAATTTTTGAAAAAAAGTCATTTTGTTTTTAAAAGAATTAAGTATAAATTAAGTATATTTTGTTTTCTTAAAGTATAAACTACCTAATCATAGAACGTAATTAAAAACCTTGTATAAAAGTTCATGAACTGACTCACGTCCACTTCAGAAGGCATGGCCAAATTACAGGGACTCCGTTTCCACATATCTACACACTGAAAATTATAAACAGTATGAATACACAGAAAATTCAAAATAAAGCAAGCTTTTTGATTTAACAATAAGATTCATTTAAAAAATACCTACTTACATTTCCTGCTTTAGAAATTTTGAGGTCATAATGCTGACCTGCTTTTCTTTCCTTTCTTTTTTCTAAGAAATCAAGTAATCTCAGCTGAGGAGGTGGAGGACACTGAGACAGATCCTGCTGCCGATTCAGAGATGACCTGGAGTATCTCTTGAAACATCTGAAGATTAGAACTAAACATAGTTAATAAAAGATACTCATCATATATACGTGGGTTTAAAATGAGGACACCCTAAACATATAATTAAATCACAAATGTTTACAGAACACTACCACTTGCCAAGCAAAGTGCTAGAGACACTGGTGAAATAAGGTAACAGTCCAGAGGGAAAGAGACATTTGCAAGTAAACGGATAATTTGACACTTCAGATGGCAATAAGCAGTAAGTGAAAACAAGAGTAATGCGGTTAAAGGATAGGGAGGACAACACTAGGGAAAGGAAGAAAGGGAATTAAAGAACTCTGATGAAATCACATGTAAGCTAAGACAGTAATGATGAGGAGAAACTAGCTTTAGAAAGATTGCAGGGGGAATGAGGGGAGACAACTTCTAGTGTCCAACTAATCTGGCATATGAAACTCTGAAATTGCTACTCCATTTTAAGAAGTAAAACACTGGGCAGTGCCTATGGCTTAGCAAGTAGGTTGCCGGCCCCATATACTGAGGGTGGCGGGTTCAAATCCGGCCCAGCCAAACTGCAACAACAACAACAAAAAATAGCTAAGTAAAACACGGAATAAACTGAAAAATCAGCAATTCTTAACACCATCATAGACATGGAGTCACAGGGCAAACTACTGCCCCCCAATCTAGAGTGACCAACAAGTGAATAGAGAGCACTATGGCTTACTGGAGCAGAAACTCATAAGGGTAAATGTCCTTAGAAACCAGTGCTAAGTAGGGGAACCTAAAGTATAACATGAATTGCTAAAGACTCAGCATGGACAAGTTTGAGAGATCAAAAACCCCAAGGGTACCCAGTTGTTGGACACTCACAACTTGGAAGTTTTATCTCCAGGAGTCTGAAGAGGTCCTCACAGTGAATACTGGGGAAAACCACAAGGGGAGTGGGGGGTGGGGGGGTGTAGATGGGACAGAGGTATAGGGCAGGGCATGGGGAGGAGAACCATTTTGAAAAACCAGGGAATGAATATTTGAGGTGCTGAGGAAGGAATAAATTTGGGTTGCTTCAAAAATAGAAAAAAGATAAGTGAAACTAAAGCATCAGAGTTTGCATAATAGATAAGGTCAGACAGCAAGGCAATGGCCTTGCAGACCAATGGCAATGTTTAGATTTAACGTAAAATGCTATACTTTTAGAGTAATTTAAATAAGGGATGCAGGATATGGTTTGAAAGTTTTTAAAAGATTACTCTAGTTTTTTAATATGGTGAATAGATAGGAAGCAAAAGTGGAAGCAGGGAGACCAACTAGGAGTTTATTTCAGAAGTCAAGATGAAGATGATAGTAGCTTGGTATAAGGTACTGAACAGCAGGAATGAAAAAGAGTAAAAGAAGACTTTACAGGGCTGTGATGGATCCTAGATGAACTCTTCCATTATTTCCAAAGGTATAACCTTTTCCTCTGAATATACTATTCGTATAATACATTATGGAATTTAAAAAAGGGCTAAGTTTCTCAAGTCTCTTCAGATTTAAAGAAGTTCCAAAGTGGGCAACCCAAATAATTAAAGAATACTTAATGATCAGCAAACTATAACTGCAGTCCAAATTAATAAGTACTCTTTTATTTTATTAGAGAAGAGATAGCTAAAACATTTAAAGACAAATTACCATGTTATAAAAGACAGTTGTAAACTGACTTCTAAAACTGTGATCATATTTTTCCAAATTCTAGAAAATTATGAATTTCCTAATGAATTATTCATTACTAAAATTATTGAAGAAATTACTCTTTCTGTTCATATCAGATCTCTTCCAGCTTCTCTACCTTTTTGGTGAACAGACTATAAAACTGAGAAGACTAAAAGACTACAGAAAATTCATCACTTCAATACAAAGCAGAGAACATTAAATCACAATACATAAAAAATACTATACAAGGCTATTAAAAATCCTATTTCAATTTTCAAAAAATCAGAGCACTTAAACTCTGAAAGAAAAGTTTTTATAGATAGAATATGTGTATTTATTATACATAAATAGTAAAATTTAGAGCTACTTGTCACAGATGTGTCTCTTGGTTCACCCCTTCACAATGCCAATTACCTTTTCATTGGGCGAGTGTTCATCTTTTGCTTATTATAGAGCAGTCTGTTTGCAGTGCAAGTTACTGCTATAGAAGGATCAAGACATAGTGGTTCAGCTGTAGCTAGGATCAGCTGGCTCTCAAGCACAAGTTTGTCTTCCTGAAATTTGTAGGAGTGTGTATTAACACAGGATTTAAGATTTTCAAAGATGTAATTATACATATCACATAATCTAGAAATATTCCCTGCAATTCTGCTAAGGACTATAATAAAATATAATATTTCAAGTTCCAATGTTAGCACATAAACCTAGAAACTTGACAGCATTAAGAAACTTCTAATAGAAATCTGATATAGGCATAACCTCCTTTTATTATGCTTTGCATATATTTTGCTATTGTACAAACTGAAGGTCTGTGGCAACTGCACTTTGAGCCATGTCTCCTGGTGCCATTTTCCCAACAATATCTGTTCACTTTATGTCACCATGTCACATTTTGGTAATTTTTTTCAATATCTCAAATATTTTCATTATTTTATCCATTACAGTGTTCTTGATGTTACTTTTGGAGCATCACAAACAATGCAAACTTAATAGATAAATGTTGTGTGTGTACTGACAGCCCCACTGACTGGCCATTCCTTTGTCTCTCCTTCTCCTCAAGCCTTCCTGTTCTGAGACACAATATTGAAAACAGGCCAATTAATAACCCTACAATGGCCCATAAGTGTTGAAGTTAAAAAGTCCACAGGTCTTTCTCTTTAAAATGATTAAGCTTAGTGAGGAAAGCATGCCAAGACAGGCTGAAAGCCAGGCCTCTGGGCCAAATAGCCAGACAAGCTGGGAATGCAAAAGAAAAGTTCTTGAAAGAAGTTAAAAGTGCTACTCCAGTGAACACAAGGATGGTAAGCATTGCTGATAGAGAAAATTTTAGTGATCTGGATAAAAGATCATGTTAGCCACAACATTCCCTTAAGCCAAAGCCTAATCCAGAGCAAAACCTTAGCTCTCTTCAATTCCATGAAGGCTGAGAGAGGTGAAAGGGCTGCAAAAGAAAAGCTGGAAGCTAGGAGACATTAGTTCATGAGGTCTGAGGAGAAAAGCTGCCTTTTTTTTTTTTTTTTTT